TACTTTGATTTTGATTTGTTTCGATGAGAAAACAAACAGTGAATCGAATGCGGTCAAAAATGAGTCTATCGGGGAAATTTGAAGGGATTTGAAACGGCTAATAGCTAGGCTAATAGCAAGGCTGTAGCTAGGCTAATAGCTAGGCTGTAGCTAGGCTAGTAGCTAGGCTAGTAGCTAGGCTAGTAGCTAGGCTAATAGCAAGGCTGTAGCTAGGCTAGTAGCTAGGCTGTAGCTAGGCTGTAGCTAGGCTGTAGCTAGGCTGTGCTAGGCTGTAGCTAGGCTAGTAGCTAGGCTAGTAGCTAGGCTAGTAGCTAGGCTGTAGCTAGGCTGTAGCTAGGCTGTAGCTAGGCTGTAGCTAGGCTAGTAGCTAGGCTAGTAGCTAGGCTGTAGCTAGGCTGTAGCTAGGCTAATACAGGCTGTAGCTAGGCTAATAGCGTTTCCAAAGCTTCCATCTTTTAGAAATCTCTCTAATTTCCAAATGCATCGATTTAAAAAGCAATACAGCTGACCTGGCCGAGTCACTTTCTCGAGATTGTTTGAAAGATCGGAGGGGAAAATCGGAGATGATCCGATGGTTGAAAGATCGGAGGGAAAAATCGGAGATGATCCGATCTCCGTCTTTCATCTATTCCAATTCCAATTCCAATTCATTTTCCTTTTCATATAGATTTTCATTTAGATTTATGGTCATTTTTATGTTCTTTTTAAAGAAAAAAACTTTCCTGATAACTTTACGACGAAACAGCTTTGTACTTGCGACTTTGTACTTGTACTTTGTACTTGCGGCTTTGTACTTGCGGCTTTGTACTTGTACTTTGTACCTGTACTTTGTACTTACGACTTTGTACTTGTACTTCACTTTACTTTGTACTTGCGACCGTACTTTTTAAACAACATTTGACCTTTTCTGATGCAAATCTGATTTTGAGTTCTCTGGGTAAACTGGCGACTGATTAGTTATCATTTTTTATTATTATTAGTTACATTAGTTAGTTATTATTAGTTATTTTTACTAGTTACAAGTCAGAAAGCGTCAATTTGACATATCGGAGCTTGTGAAACGTATTTCAAAGAAGAAACGAGTAGCTCAAATTACAGAAAAATTTTCCCTATGCATAGCACTGTTCGTTTGCTTCCATAAGCCCTGAAATGTCAAAATTTGAATTCTATGCCCTGAAATTACCCAGAAAGATAAAGAAATTGGTTAATATTAGAAATTTGAAAAAGAAATTGGTTAATATTAGCCTTTTAGAGCTTTTTGAGAAGCTAAGCGCGAAAAAAGGTGCTAAAGAGTCGACCAGGCTAAAGAGCTAAAGAGTCGACCAGGCTAAAGAGCTAAAGAGTCGACCAGGCTAAAGAGCTAAAGAGTCGACCAGGCTAAAGAGCTAAAGAGTCGACCAGGCTAAAGAGCTAAAGAGTCGACCAGGCTAAAGAGCTAAAGAGTCGACCAGGCTAAAGAGCTAAAGAGTCGACCAGGCTAAAGAGCTAAAGAGTCGACCAGGCTAAAGAGCTAAAGAGTCGACCAGGCTAAAGAGCTAAAGAGTCGACCAGGCTAAAGAGCTAAAGAGTCGACCAGGCTAAAGAGCTAAAGAGTCGACCAGGCTAAAGAGCTAAAGAGTCGACCAGGCTAAAGAGCTAAAGAGTCGACCAGGCTAAAGAGCTAAAGAGTCGACCAGGCTAAAGAGCTAAAGAGTCGACCAGGCTAAAGAGCTAAAGAGTCGACCAGGCTAAAGAGCTAAAGAGTCGACCAGGCTAAAGAGCTAAAGAGTCGACCAGGCTAAAGAGCTAAAGAGTCGACCAGGCTAAAGAGCTAAAGAGTCGACCAGGCTAAAGAGTCGACCAGGCTAAAGAGTCGACCAGGCTAAAGAGCCGACCAGGCTAAAGAGTCGACCAGGCTAAAGAGCCGACCAGGCTAAAGAGCCGACCAGGCTAAAGAGCCGACCAGGCTAAAGAGCCGACCAGGCTAAAGAGCCGACCAGGCTAAAGAGCCGACCAGGCTAAAGAGCCGACCAGGCTAAAGAGCCGACCAGGCTAAAGAGCCGAGTGCGCAAAAAAGGTCACATTTGTTCCACTCCCAAGAATAAGCGTAAAATTTTCCCATGATCTTTCATATTTTAATTTAAACTAACTGAATAGCTGTCCAATGCTAGTTTGATTTTTAAAAGTTTGCTTTAAAAGTCATTAATCACGCATAATCACGCATAATCGCGCATTATCGATTAATCGATCAAAATTTGAATCTCATCGAACTTTAATCAATTAATTGATCACTGGGAACACACTCTACTCTATGAGATCATCAAAAACATCAAAAAAAATCTTTTAGAATAGAATTGAGTGAGATTTCGGAGTGTGAAAGGTGTAGTGGAAGGGGGGAGAATGAGATTGCACTTAAGAACAGTTAAAGGAAGTTAAGGAAAAGCAAGTTAAGGAGTAAGGAAATGGACAAAAGATAAAAAAGAGGCTATAGAGAAGAGGAAACAAAAAAACATAAGACAAAAACAAAAGACAAGATATAAGAGAAGCTGGGGAAAGCTGGGGAAAGCTGGGGAAAGCTGTGGTGGGCATAGATCCCTTCCATTCCTCTTCCATTCCTCTTTCCCCAAGGGAGTCGTGTTTTCCCCTTCCCCAGAATGCCCATCTCCCTAAAAAATCCCTAAAAATCCCTAAAAAATCCCTAAAAAAGCCAAAAATCCAAAAATTCCTTGAATCTTTCCCTTCTTTACCCCAAAAATGACAACTTTTCAATCAAAAAAAACGCGAAATTCATAAATATCGAATTTTTTCTTTTCTGTTTTTTGAAACTTTTACTATTCTTGTTTGGCAATGTTTTCTGGCATTCAAAAGTCAAATTTTGAAGTCAAATTTTCAAAAGACAAAACTTTAATTCATTTTCTGGGAATGCTTTCATTTGTCATCAGTCAAATCATTGAAAAATATTTGCTTATTTCAATTCAATTCAAAAGAATTCAAAGTTTTGTCCAATTTCAGGCTTAGACTTGCCCAAATTTGACTTTCCCTGGCCTTTACCAGTTTACCAGTTACCAGTTTACCAGTTACCAGTCACCAGTCACCAGTTACCAGTACCAGATTCTTCTACAAATACGTCTAATGCTAGGATTGGAGCTTGGATTGAATCCCTAGAAACCAGTGTACCAGAAAATGTACAGAGCACAACGTACATAAACTATTTTGCGAGCACAACGTACATAAACTAACGGTACTTTTTGTTCAAAGCGCAAACGCACGCTTCCTGGCAATGAAGATTCCAATAAAACCAACCATAAGTTGATTCAGCGTCTATACCTCGAGTTATAGACCATTTGAGTTGATTGACTTTTCCAGGTAGGTAGTTCAACTTTGAATCAAATTTTCTCTATGTTTTTACACTAGATTATACAAAATAAATTATAGTTTTCTATAACGAAATTTCAAGAAGATCATTTTAAAACCAACCCCGAGTCGATCTGACAATTGGAAATCGAGTTATAGAGTAAAATAGAAGAGTCCCCAAACTCCGAGACTCCTATTTGGAAGGTCAACTTTGACACTAATTTTCTCTATGTTCTTACATTAGAGTGTACTAAGTAAATTGTAGTTTTCTATAACGAAATTTCAAGAAGATCATTTTAAAACCAACCCCAAGTCGATCTGACAATTGGAAGTCGAGTTATAGAGTAAAATAGAAAAGTCTCCAAAGACTCACCACGGAATTTGGAAAGGTCTCCGAACTCCGTGACCCGTATCTGGAAGGTCCACTTTGATATAGCACAAAGTACATAAACTAACGGTACTTCTTGTTCAATCGCAAACGCACGCCTCCTGGCAATGAAAGTTGTTCTTAGTTGTTGTTGTTAATTCCCAGAGATTCCCTAAAATCCCTGTAAGAAATATATTTATACTTTGATCTTTATAATTTCTTGTAAGACCGTGTCTCGGTGCGGTTTAATGGTAGAAGTCTTGAAAACGCACAATTTATCAAAACTTTCCCTTATTAGGGCAAACTTCGCTCAAACTGGAGCCACCTGGCACTATCACAATTACTTCAAAACTTGCGTGGAGCCACAACTGACCCAAGACAAAGCTAATAGCTAAGCTAGGGTTTTAAACTACACCAAGCTACGACAAACGGACAACTGAATATCGTCTAGTGGCTGATTACGGTGGTTTATCCATCAACTTTGAATTTTAACTTGTGTATTGAATTTTGACTAACTGCAGAGCAGTGGCAATTCGCCAAAATCCCAAATTTTCAGCTATTTTCAGAGTTTCTTTCAAATCCCAAATTTTCAGCTATTTTCCGAGTTTCTTTCAAATCCCAAAATTTCCTTAAATCCTTACCTTTCCAAGGATCATAATCACTAAAAAATACATCTCCAAAGCTTCTTGTTTTCTCGAGAATTCTTGGTGAGACATTGGCCATGAATATTCAATGCATCTTTCCCGTTTCATCATCAAAAATCTGGTTTTCGATCTTGTTTTTTTGCTGTTTTTCTAGGGGATCTTCAATTTTTGATTGGATAAATTCCGTTGGATGTAAATTGTAAATTAATTTTGCATTTTTTGATCCCCTCCCGATTTTGACAGGACTTTTTCGTTCAAAAACTATCCCAAAAGAATATCCCAAAAGATATTCGCCATTATTATCAACTATTTTCTTCCATTTTTTGCGTAGACTTCGGATGCCTGATTCGAAAAATTCTTCATTTTGAAGTCATAGAGAAGACACGCACTAGTTTTTGATCCGTCATCTTGTACCTAAAATTATGTGATATTCAATGATAGCAATAGCTGTGAAAATAATTAAAATGAATAAGCAATAATAATGCAATATAATACAATTTAAACCGGACCATCACACTTTCAAATAAAAAAAACTTTGGTCCTCGGAAGTAATGCGCAGTTTCTTTTGCAAGTCCCTAATAGCAATATTTTATATGCAATATTTTAAAGCAATCTCTTATAACAATATCTTATTTATATAAAATTTCATCTTCCAGTTGATCTTTGCGGGTGAATATACAAAAGCGATGAACAAAGACTGGCACAGTGATCATTTCTGCTGTTGGCAATGCGATCAAACGCTCACCGGGCAGAGGTATAGATATAAGTCGACAAAAAGTATATTTGATATATAGAAATATAGAAATATAGAAAGATAGAAAGATAGAAAGATAGAAATACAGAAATATAGAAATATAGAAATATAGAAATACAGAAATATAGAAATATAGAAATATAGAAATCTAGAAATATAGAAATATAGAAATATAGAAATATAGAAATATAGAAATATAGAAATATAGAAATATAGAAATATAGAAATATATATGTTGTGTCCGATTTAGATATAGATTACAGTCCGATATAGATTACAGTCTATATCGGACGTCCCATTTAGGTTCAATCTAAATCGGACGGAAATCTAAATCGGACACAACATATATATAATCAATATAAGATGGTAATTTTGATCGTAAATAGTATAGTTGATCGTAAATTGTATAGTTTAGAGTAAGATTACAGTGCATAAGCCTGAGCTGACTCTGGACCAAGCTAAGTCCAGAGTCAGCTCAGGACCAAGCTAAGTCCAGAGTCAGTTTAGGACCAAGCTAAGTCCAGAGTCAGTTCAGGACCAAGCTAAGTCCAGAGTCAGCTCAGGACCAAGCTAAGTCCAGAGTCAGTTCAGGACCAAGCTAAGTCCAGAGTCAGCTCAGGACCAAGCTAAGACTGGAGATAAACTTTAGATCTCGAATATCTCTCTAAAATCAAAATCAAAATCAAAACCAAAACCAAAACCAAAACCAATATCTACAAATATCTACAAAAATCTAGACAAAAGCTTGGGTAAACCCTCAATTACAGGTTTCGTAGCCGTGTTTTCACCAATAGTATCGTATTTTCACCAATAGCTTTTTAAGTGGTGACCCAGTTTGGATACGTTTTAAGAACTAGACCCTACCGCCGGATAACTAAAATATCTAATAATATGAGAAATTATTTGAATATTTAGGTATATTATGCGAGACGAGCAGCCATATTGTATCAAATGCTACGAGGACGTTTTCGCGAATTCTTGTGACGAGTGCGCGAAGCCGATTGGTATCGATTCAAAGGTTTGTTAGCTGGCCTAGGATTTAAAAGTAGAGGTACAAGTAGAGTATCATTTAAAAATTTGCATAAACTGGAAAATTCACGTGCACCAGCATTGGTGGCAGCGGAGAATTCCATTCGCGTAAAATTTAATTTGTAAAATTTATTCAACATAAGACCATAAATTCATTCGAAATAATTCCATTATTATTGACGACTTGTGCCCATTTTACAGGCAATTTGCGGATTCCTCTTTCGTGGTAGGATTTTGGTTTGTGTGTGAGACAAGGGTGAGACTCAAAAATCGAGGACTGGAGATTTGAGTTTTGAGGACCAGTTTGAGCACTTTCTTCAAAAGAAACCCATTTTGGTGTCAATAGAAAAGTTGTAGAGAATCAAAAATTAGGCTTATAGCCAAATTTCCAAAAAGATACACTTAGTAGTTTCGCTTAAAATGCAAGTTTTGTGAAAATTCGTAAATTTCGCATTTCTTGAAAACCAAAATGAAAAATTGATCAAAATACGGCTGGAAAAATGCCCGTACAGTAAGGCAGACAGAAAGACAGACAGATACCGTAACCCCCCCTCCCCCCCTTTCCGCCATTTCATTTGTGAAAATTCGTAAATTTGGCATTTCTTGAAAACCAGTTTTTGAATCGTTCTGAAAATCTGGATATAAGCTTCATTTTTGATTCTCTACAACTTTTCCATTGACACCAAAATGGGTTTCTTTTGAAGAAAGTGCTCAAACTGTCACATATGACAATAGCCGGCAGTCTTCAATTCACCAACCCAATATATTGACTATTTTAACGATCATTTGATGCAGAATGAATTTACGCATCGAATGACACCAAAAACAGCTTAGAATATAATATTCATGCAAAATGAAATATTGGTCAAAATACGGCTGGAAAAATGCCCGTACAGTAAGGCAGACAGAAAGACAGACAGATACCGTAACCCCCCCCCCCTCTCCCTCCCTTTCCGCCATTTCATTTGTGAAAATTCGTAAATTTGGCATTTCTTGAAAACCAGTTTTTGAATCGTTCTGAAAATTTGGATATAAGCTTCATTTTTGATTCTCTACAACTTTTCTATTGACACCAAAATGGGTTTCTTTTGAAGGAAGTGCTCAAACTGGGACATTCCTCCATTTTCGAGTCTCCAGTCCTCCATTTTTGAGTCTCACACTTGTCTCACACACAAACCAAAATCCTACTACGAAAGAGGAATCCGCAAATTGCCTGTAAAATGGGCAGAAGTCGTCAATAAGAATAGAAATTATTTGGAATGAATTTATGGTCTTATTTTGAATAAATTTTAATTCAAGGTCCCGCAGTTTTCAATTCACCAACCCAATAATTTTTAATTATTTCCAGGATCTCTCATACAAAGAGAAGCATTGGCACGAGCACTGTTTCCTCTGCAATATGTGCAAGGTTTCCCTCGTCGATATGCCATTTGGATCGAAAAACGATCGGTTAGTTGGTATTAGAAATTAGAAATTAGAAAAATATTAGAAAATAAGTTAAATTTAGATTTTTATACTCAAATGGTCAAGTTTTATCTAAAAATTTTTAGTATTTTCTGCTCAAATTGCTATGATCAGGCTTTCGCGACACGGTGCGACGGATGCAATGAGATTTTCCGAGCAGGTGAGCGAAATTTTGGGAAATTTGCATTTGAGATTGAAAATTTAAACTGAATATGATTTTTAAATAACTGAATATGATTTTAAAATGAGTATTTTCAGTCTTTTTGTTTTTCTTAGGGCTTAAAATGTCTTTTTGTCTCTGTTATGTCTCTTTTTTTTACCTCCGAAAGCTTTTTTTTGCTTTCTTTTTGCCTTTTTTTCGTTGTCGCACTTTTTCCCTACCTCAAATCCCCAGAATTGACTGCTTTTCGTAAACCAACCTTTTCTCTCATCTAATATTCAGTTATAATAGGTTAAATAGTTCAGTTTTTGGCTAGATATTGCTGTTTTCTGGCTTAGGCAGAGATTTGGTGTCAAAAGCAGAGATTTGGTGTGCCAAAAAGCGGGTTTTCTATTGAAGAACAAGAATTCTAGTGTACTTTGTGCTTACACAGAAAAGCACGCTTTCTGGCTGGCTTGCTGGCTGGCTGGCTTTCTGGCTGGCTGGCTTTTTGACTGGCTTTCTGGCTGGCTTTCTGGCTGGCTTTCTGGCTTTCTGGCACACTCATTTCTACCTAGACACTGCTTAAACTCAAGATTATTTTGGAAAAATATTGTATAAGATATTTGATCTATCACCTAACGAATTCTCTTCTTTCAGGCATGAAAAAGATGGAGTACAAGGGGAAACAATGGCACGACAAATGTTTCTGCTGCGCTCACTGCAAGAATCCCATCGGCACAAAGAGTTTCATTCCGAAAAATGAGGAGGTGGAGATTTTTAAAAGCTATAAAATGGATGTTTAGGCTCAGGGTTAGGCTTAGGCTTAGGCTCAGGCTTAGGCTCAGGCTTAGGCTTAGGCTCAGGATTAGGCTTAGGCTTAGGCTTAAAATGCTATAAAATGGATGTTTAAAAGCTATAAAATAAAGAGCAGTCAACTCTCGAAACAAAGATTTTGAAATTCTAAAAAATGCCCTTGATTTCTGCGTAGCTGCTCTATAATAGCTTCTCAGCCAAACGCAATCGTTGGCTTTCAGGCCAGCTACGTATTTGAGGCTCTCAGGTTAGCTACGCATTTGAAGCTTTCAGGACAGCTACGTATTTGAAGCTTTCAGGGCAGCTAAGAAATTTGGGGCACGATTTAGAATCGTTCAAACGAGTTTTTTGCTCCCGTATCGTTAAATCGAGAGTCGACTGTATAATCTTAAGATTTTCTTGATCTGATTTGCTTGATCTTAAGATTTAAACTAAAGAAAAACTCAAATTCCAGGTCTACTGTGCCGGCTGTTATGAGGAGAAATTCGCCACCCGTTGCACAAAGTGTAAAAAGGTGGGGTACATGAAAATTTTGAACCTAAAAAAATTCTTATCAAACGCTTTTAAGAGCACGGCTTTCTCTAGTTACCCTAGTAAACGTTTACTTTAATCTATCAGCTAAAGTTTGACTCAATTGAATCACCAAATCCTCTAGGTGATCACGACGGGCGGTGTGACGTACAAAAACGAGCCGTGGCATCGCGAGTGTTTCTGCTGTTCGAATTGTCAAGCCTCGCTCGCCGGTCAAAGGTATCGTCGAAATTTTTACACTTTCATAACTCAACAATGACAATGACAACAATGACAATGATAATGACAACAATGACAATGACAATGACAACAATGACAATGACAACAATGACAAACAATCTTGCCAACTGTGTTCAAGGAAAACTTTCGCATAAATTCACCTTCATTTCATCAGACACGATTTTAGATTTACAAGCAAAGACGAGAAGCCGTATTGCGCGAATTGCTACGGGGATTTGTTCGCGAAACGATGTAACGCTTGTACAAAGCCGATCACGGGTGAGAATTTTGGATTTAATGAAAAACTTGAGCCTCAGCTTGAGTCTGAGCCTGAGCTAGAGCTTGACCTTGACCTTGACCTTGACCTCAAGCTCAAGCTGATTGAGATAAACTCGTGAGAAACAATAAATAAATAAAATAAACAGGAATCGGTGGCGCCAAATTCATCTCATTCGAGGATCGACACTGGCACAATGATTGTTTTATTTGCGCTCAATGCACGACGAGTCTCGTCGGAAAGGTGAGAAAAAAACGCGTTTCATTAATACGGTAGATTACAATAGATCTGTAGGATACTTGTAGACTACAATAGTTCACTCTAAATCGCCGAGCTTACTCTTTAAATGCAAATTCCAGGGTTTCATCACCGATCAACTCTCAATTCTCTGTCCAGAGTGTGCAAAGGCGAGGCTGATGGCGGCAAATTCATAAAAAAACAGCCGATTTTTCTAATTTTCTAAAAAGCGCCCCAAAACTACCGGTGGATACGGTATAAATCCGTCTTATAAACATTTTTGCCCTTTGAGATGAAGCCAGTTTGCAAAAAAAGAAAAGCGATCATTTGTGTTCTTCAAAAAAAAACAAACATTTGGTTCTGCTCAATTTTGATTTTCCATTGACGCTTCAGATTTCAAAATTGAGTAAAACTAAAAGAAAAATTTTTAAGAAAACCCCGAAAAAATTCATTTTCCCCCAAAAACAACGGGGTTTCTTTCCAATTCTAGTCACTTTATCCGTGTTTTTTTTGTTTATTTTCAAATTTTTTTCAAAATCCAATTGCGTATTTGTGATCAGATTACATTATGTATTCATTTTATAAGATTTTCGGACACTAAAACTTCAACGATATAGCCATTAGGTAACCTATTCTCTTTTCGTAATCTATTTAAGGCTTGTAAATATTCCATTCTCTGCATAATTGAAACAAAATTTCCTTACTTTGATGTTTTCCTTTTCGTTTCTTCAAGGTTGCGACCAAATACGCATCCCCCACCCCATGGCACTACATTATGATTTTCACCTGATATACCAATTTTTTTTTCTTGTGCTGTTGAATAAATATTCCCTGAAAATAGATATTTAACGAAATTCCTCAAATAACAACGGAAATCAACAATAACAAAATCTGCAAAAAAAATAACAAAAAACAAACAACAATGATCAGCAGTGAAGACTTCTTAGTGCGCTGCTTCTCGACGCGAAGACTTGACCTTTCCTAAAATTAGGTCATTTTGAGTGATCAATAAAACTATTAGCTGATCATTTATAAAAGATATACCAAATCTCTAAGTGCCATTTTAAGTCTAAAAAATCCATCAAAGTTTTAAGCCTTAACAAATTTAACTCACCATTTTCCGTCGATCCTTTTTGTTCTTTTTTATTCTTCTTTGTTGGCGGTTCCTGCGAAACGTTCTGTCCCTCACCGCCGCCTCGTCCTTTCTTCTTGCCAATCGTCGGCACTTTTTCCGATTCTTCCCTAAATTTGAAATTTTCGCAATTAGAAAAACTCTAGTACCGAAGTTGCAAAGATAAAATTCTCACCGTTCTCTTTCAATTTCAATCTCTCGATCCCTTTTCCGATCCACCTCAACGTCTTCAGTTTGACCGGTGACTTCGGCTTGTTTTCGAGCCGCCTTCTCTCTAAATTTTGAGAGTTGTATGAGAAGAATCATAACCTGACTACGAGCTTAGTAATTGTAAACATTTGATTTCCAAAATCTCACGTTCTTTCTTTGATCGCCTCCTCGTCTTTCTTTTTTCTCTCGTCAATGGCAGTGAGTCGTCGAATCACCCGATGTTCTTGATCTTTTCTGCGCCTCTCTTGCAATTTCCTAAACTCATAACCAGATTGAAAAGGAAACTATCTACAAACCGAATTCTCGGTGCTTTATTCTTCAAATCAGCCACCTCATCGGCTGTCTTTTGCACAAATTTGTGATAAAGTACCTATAATTAGATGATGATTAAATTGAAAATGTAGGCAAATCACCTCTCCTTCGTCGATCCCTTCTTGCACCTTCACCAATTCCAGCTTCAAGCGAGGCCCCAACTCCAGCAATCTGAACGATTGAGCTCTGCATTTTGAAAAGAAAATCTATCCAAACCTGATGTTACTTTTCTGTCCTTGCGATAAACCTCGAGAGAAAATATCCTGTGGAAGATCGACTTCTTTTTGCTCTTCTTCCCATTCACTCTCGCTCAATTGGCCAGGGCTAGAAATCAAGTTGAATTAGGGCAACACAAAAGTCCCAAAAATATAAACACCTAGTTATTCAAAAAAAATTGTATCAAATTTGTAAAATCCTACTTGATAAAGAAATCCGAGATGTCTTTGTATCGACTGAGGTCTGGAATCTTCGATGAGACCAACTTTTTGACCGGTTTAGCCAATCCCGAAGTCACCGTCTTGATGGCACTAAAATGATTTAAAATAAACTATGCAATGATCTAAATTTGATTCCCAGTAAATAGTTTAAAACTTACTAATGTCGCATATCTATCGTATCGGTTTCCGGGTCATAGTTGAGGAGAAGGCATCGACGAACGGCTTTTAATTGTACCTAGAGATTGATTTTACACAAAAAAATAATAAAACCATACCGTATCAACATTCAGCGAAGGAAACATGTTTTGAACCATCGTTTGCACAACTTGTAAATGGCGCTTCTGATCAGCCGTTTTGAATCCTAAATCCCTGATAAACTGAGATAGAATTGCGCAAATCTTAAAGTTCTGACCAAAAGTTTCAGCTTTGAACTTGATTTCTTTAAGAAATTTAGTAAAAAGTTACCATTCATAACGACGAGAGGTGCCGCGCTGAACAAAGTATCGCACCACATTTGCTTCTTTTGACGTGAGAGAACCTGGCGTTTCAGCGTGTATTCTTGCACTAAAATTGATTGAATACTTTCAAATTTTGGCGCTGTAATACCTCTAAAAGTCAAAGTTGGCCCTTGTGGAAGTCGAATCATTCGCAAGTGAAGATCCTTTGTTCCCCGTGTCAAAACCATCATTTGAGTGACGCCAAGCGGGGCGCCGTTAACGACGAAATCGCGAAGATTATTGCTTTTTCGTACCTAAAAGAAGAAATCATTTTCCAATCCTTAACGTTCTAGCAATATTTTATGAATGTCTCGTAATAGATTCAATAAAGATCAAGTATCAATTAAGAAGTTTCACAAAATCTTTTACCTTCAAGTCTTTAGCCGTATTTGGCTCCATGACAAAGCGCAGATCACGGACAAGACGATGCACAAACCGGCCAACTTCACCACGATAGATCACAAATGAATGCGGAACTCTAAATATCAAAGATTTCAATATGAAATCGCAAAATTACTTTTCAGCTTCCGCTTTTGAAGCAACCGATGCTGCTTGTTCTTTGATGTGTTTCACGTCACGTTTTTTCTCGTCGGCTTCAGCTCTCCGATCTGCGGCTTTTGCCTAAAAACAAATACAATAGGTTATAGCAGAGCATTTACATTTTCAGAGCGTAAACCTTAAACTTAACATAAAAACACAAGAGTTGTCTGGCAATGTCTGACAAAAACAGAAGAGTTATTGTATGTCTGGTGATGTATGACATTTCGGCTATTTTGTAAACTTGAAAGTTGCAAATAAACTATTTAGCCAGTTTACAACTTTAAAAAGAATTTTGGTACTTTGGTAGTTGGGAGGGGCCACTTTTGGCCCCTCCCACTTTGTCGAATCTAGTGTTTTGAGCGGTTCATGTTGATACTTTTCTTCTATTTCGGGGTAATTATATATGCTGAAGCGATTGGTGCCAATTTTAGAGTGTTTCCAACATGTTTCAAGTTAGTGCTGCAGCTTTCCAAGTGTAATCAGCTTTGAAATAACGTTTAGTGGTTAAAATACAGCAGGCTAGGATACAGGGCAAATCATCGAATAGGACTATCAAAAGCGTGTTTAAATTAGCACGAATTGCTTCAGCATATATCTCTTTCTTCAGAATAGAAGAAAAGTATCGACACGAACCGCTTAAAAGACTAGATTCGACTAAGCAAGCCAAAATTGGCCCCTCCCAACCACCAAAGTACCAAAATTTTATACATAAAAACTTACAAATTGCCCTTTCGTCTTCCTTTTCATCTGACCCAAGCCCAAATCGCCGGCGCGGGCTCGTCGAGCGGCCTTTCCCCGTCTTCCCTTCGCACGACCCATTGTTCTAAAAGTTTAAAAATTATCCATCAAGTAGAATATGATTTCAAAAATATAGAGAAGGAGCCAGTGACGAAAATCAAAAACACTGCTGAAAAGCCAGCCACGTCAGCATTTTAAAAAGAACGGGAGTGGGACAAATGCAACCTTTTTTTGCGCACCCGGACATTTGCGCACCTTTTTTTCCGCACTTAGCCCATTAGCGCACCTTTTTCGCGTTTTAAAAAAGCTCTAAAAAGCTAATATTAACCAATTTCTATTCCAAAAGTTGTTTTTCTAGGTAATTTGAGGGCGTAGAATCGAAATTTTGGCATATCAGAGCTTGTGAAAGCGAACGGACGGAGTTATACAAAGAGAAAAATCAACAATTTCTGTAATTTGACCTAGCCGTTTTGTCTTTCAAATTGGTTCCACAAGGTCTGATATGTCAAAATTTCGATTCTACGCCCTCAAATTACCTAGAAAAACAACATTTGGAATAGAAATTGGTTAATATTAGCTTTTAGAGCTTTTTTAAAACGCGAAAAAAGGTGCGCTAATGGGCTAAGTGCGGAAAAAAAGGTGCGCAAATGTCCGGGTGCGCAAAAAAAAAGGTCGCATTTGTCCCACTCCCAAAAGAACAAATGTGAGAAAAATGAGCAATTTGGAAGGAAAGACATTAAAGCTTTGGCAAAGTTACTACAAAATCGAGAACACTGCTGAAAATAGCATTTCTCTACCATAATCGTTTTCTATTTTGCCCTAACTGTCTCAAACTAAGTGTTTGGAGTGTTCATAGATGGTTTTTTAAGAAATTTTATTTAAAAGCGGGGTCTAGAGAGCAGGTATCAAGGTTCGAGAGTAAAAATTCGCAAACCTCACGTCGATTAGGGCAAAAAATGAGCTAAAAAGTACACAGTTTACCAAATTTCAGCCACAATTGTGCGCACATTGCGCAGTAAGGGCGGCCGGTTGGCAAGGAGGGGAAAGAAATGAGAGAGAAGAGAAGCGAAATGGAAAAAAAGGGGAGGGGAGAGCAGGCAGGCCGTGTTGTTTACTGGATAGGTATGGCCTGCCCTTTCCCGTCCAATTCCCCTTTGGAATCTTCTGTTTACGTGTGCTCATTGGCGTTTCTCTTCAATTACCCGGGTTCTCCTGGGTGTGTTGCACGTTCACACGGATTTTTTTTTGCCTTGGCTCTTTCGCTCCTGTTATTGATTGACTATTTTTCTTGAGTTGTGTTAACGATTGTTGTTGCTGTCGTTGCTTGTTATAGATAGCTAAATAAAATCTATCAATAACTTGCTTTTGATAAGTTTGAGTTAAATAGCTGTTTTGAATAGGGCTTGCTTGAATTGTGATTATCGGCGTAGCTCGAATTGTGTCTATCGGCGTAGCTCATTGGTAAATCACTCACCCAGTAAGCGATATGTCACGGGTTCGAACCCCAGCCATGCCAATTTTGTATTCCCTGATAGATATTATGCTATCCAGGGCTTTTAGGCCAAGCAAGGCTTTTAGGCCAACAATTCTTAAATTTCTTCCTTGCTTAGAATATCTTTCATCTCGCAACTTCTTTTAAACACTTCCTTATGGTTGATAAGCTGTCATAAGCTGGTTGATTAGCTTGTTGATATGTTATTGTTATTTTATAGCCGCTAAAAGCTTCATTTTTGAAATCAGTATTAACAATTACTATTTTCAAGTGACTCCAAAGATGAAACTTTTAGCGGCTATAATATTAGGCTGTCCAGAAAGTCTCTTCGTTCTTTTTTGTACTTCCGTTTAAAACCAACAAATGCACCAATTGAGCTACGGTTTGTTTCATTAGAAAGGCCAATTATTTTTCTGCAAAATAACATTAAAACGGTTTTAAAAGGTCTTATGTCTGGATTTTTCTTGGAAGCGTGAAGTCGGGTAGTCAAAAAAAGCGACGGTTCGGTGATGCGGTAACACTTTAGCTAAAGAAACCTATCTTAGTGTCAATAGATAAAAGATAGAGCATAAAAAGTTATTTATATAGTCAAATTTTCACAACAAATTCATTCAGTCAATTTTTTCGTAGAGGTTTTTATAGATTTTTATGAAAAAAAAATACGTTTTCACTGTCGAATTTGCTTGAAAATGAAACGAAATTGACTTTAAAAGATGGGAAATTGACTTAAAAGATACGAAATTGAACAATAAACGCTTTTTATTTAGAAGAAACTATAGGTTACCGTATTTACTCTATTAGTGGGGTCCTCTCTAATATTGGTAACGAAAGTGATACATCAATTGTTGATCTCTTGGATTAGTTCTTTTACTGTTTGTTAATGTTTTGTTACGGTTAAAGCTAAATAAAATATGAAGCCAAACTTGTTTTGTCAAGAATTTCGGAGAAAAATTGATATCTTTTCAATTTAAAACTTTGGTTTTATCTTCTTTTAAATTTCTCTAATAGTGGGGTCGTCTGGAAGGGGATTGAAAAAATAGTGGGGGACCCCACTAATAGAGTAAATACGGTAATTGATGAATTTGTGATTTTTCAACAGAAGGATGGGGGGTGGGACAAATGCTACCTTTTTTTTGCGCACCTGGACATTTACGCACCTTTTTTTTTGCTGGAAAAGGCCTTAGGCAAGGCCGTAGAGCTTCGAAAATATTTCCGTATAAGGGAATCGTATGCGTAGATTCCGAATTTCGACAAATCGACACGTCAAATTTGGGCTAAAAGGCAAAAACTGCGGAAAAGCGTTAGGTTGCGTAGTTTTTGCCTTTTAGCCCAAATTTGACGTGTCAGCGAGGTCCGATTTGTCGAAATTCGGAATCTACGCATACGATTCCCTTGCATGGAAATATTTTCGAAGCTCTGCGGCTTTGCCTAAGGCCTTTTCCAGCAAAAAAAAAGGTAGCATTTGTCCCACCCCCGAAATACTAAATACTAAAAAACTTTTGCGACTACGCGACTGTACGAGGGCAGTGGGGTACTATTATAGTATTTACGGTATCAAAAACATATCCAAATCGATAATCTCTTTCAAAAACCCCTATAAAAATGACCTTTTCCAAGCCAAAAATCATAAAGTGACACGAAATTTTCGTATTTCTTTGATTCAAATTTTCAAGCCATTTCTTTTTTCAAGCCATTTCTTTTTTCGAGCATACAACCACCGATTTCAATGACCTTTTTGAAATGTCAATGATTCATTTTTTCATTTGCAAAATAGTCCCCATTTTTACGATTTTTACAATTCTTTTTACATCTTTTATATTTTTGCAATTCTTTTTACAATTCTTTTTGCAATTCTTTTTGCAATTCTTTTTGCAATTCTTTTTACAATTCTTTTTACAATTCTTTTTACAATTCTTTTTACAATTATTTGCCTAGTTTGCCTAGTTTTTTTTTTCGATTCTTTGGGCCGTGAAACCGCGGTTTCCGTCGACCTCATTAAAGGGACATTCAACGAAAAAAAAAGAAAGAAATGAAATGAAATTAAACTTTGTTTTTTTTAGAATTCTTTGTTTCTTTGAGAACTTCTTTTAGAATTTTGTTTCTTTTAGAATTCTTTCTTTCTTTTAGAATTTTATGCAAATTTGCACGTAGACTGTTTTTAGTGCAACAGATTGGTTGGAGTTTTTGAAGAATTGCAAAAGACCCAGTGTGGAGCTGATCCTTATCTTTTTTTCAAAACTTTTACATTCCATTGGTTCTTTGCGATATACTTTGTGCTAAAAACCGTAAATGCACTCTATCTGGCGCACTGAATTCTGGCGCTATAAATGCCTTTCCCTATCTCTGGCGATATCTGATCGTTTCTGTAAAATATTTCGTTTCTGTAAGAAAATTCGTTTCTGCAAGAAAATTAAGAATTCAGTGGATCAGAAGGCGTGCGTTTACAAGATTTTGACACAAAGTACATTGTTTGTGACACATTGTTAGATTCTTATCAAAATCCTTTCCAGAGAAATGCGTTCCCTTTTCGACTCGGCTCCACCGAACACCGTTCAGCGTTTGTGTAATCTCGTCAAACAGGAAACAATCATTAATGAGGCGAATGTAAGTGAATTAGAATTGAATGTAAATACCGTAAATACAGTAAATACTGTAATAGTACCCCCACCCCCATAATGACGGTGCGGAGTGTTGCGTAGTCTAGCTTTGAACGAGTTTTTCTCGACACTGGTTTATGCTACAATGTTCGTTTTGGTTTCAAAAAATAGCCCTGAATTTCAGCTATTTTTTGATACCAAAGACGCATTTTTTGAAAGTACGGGCGCTTTGAAAAATACTAAAAAACCTTTTGAGACTACGCGACTGTACGAGGGCAGTGGGGTACTATTACAGTATTTACGGTATGTACATTTTTCACTTTAGAAGTTAAAAATCTACATATTTACATCAAATTCTTATCCATTTAAGGTTAAATTTTAGGACGATCCAAAATGGGCTGAGAAAACGGTGAAATCGCTGTACAAGAAGCTCAAAAAAGCGAAAGCATTGGAAGAATTGGAGCGAGCAATTTCACACGAAGATCGTTTATCCGATTGTATCGTTATTCAATCGTACGTTTTCAAAACTTGATTTTCTTGCTGTTCCCTAGGGTTTTTTCTGGGTAGAAACCTTGTTTTTTCTGGGTTTTTCTGGGGGCCCCAAGTAATGCGCTTTCTAAAAGGTGGATAATTTGGAAAGCTATCGTTTGGAGTTTGGAAAGCTATCGTTTGAAATTTGGAAAGCTATCGTTTGGAGTTTGGAAAGCTATCGTTTGGACTTCAAAAAGCTATCGTTTGGAATTCAGAAAGCTATCGTTTGGAATTTGGAAAGCTATCGTTTGGAATTCAGAAAGCTATCGTTTGGAATTCAAAAGCTATCGTTTGGAATTCAGAAAGCTATCGTTTGGAGTTTGGAAAGCTATCGTTTGGAATTCAGAAAGCTATCCTTCTCCAATTTCTCCGATTTACTTTTGATCGCATTTGTTAAGAAGTCAAACTGTGAACTGAATGGGATTAGATTATGTGAATGATCATATTATGTGAAGCAAACAAAATTCTGAACGAAAGATTACGGTAGCTTTCTAAATTCTCCACCTTTTCACCAGAAATAACCCGTCCTCACCAGAAATAACCCGTCCTAATTCACATTCTAGCCTCATTTTTCTGTCATTTTTAGACCAAAATGATTAATTTCTTTTTTAAACAAAAATTCATGTCTTTTTCTGTAAATGTTCAAGATTTCATGACTAAAACATTGATAGAAAATTTTTTATGAACTCTCAAAAATAGCTGATCAAAAAAAATAACGGGCCACAATTCAAATTTGGGATTTTTGAAAGAAAAACTTCATAAAATAATCTTTTCTTTGCAGTTTTTTTGTAAAAACTAAGTTTATATTCCTTTTAAGTAGATTCAATTCAAAAAAATATTAAATCCATTAATATTTCTGTAAAATAATCGATAAAGGAATCCGTAAATTGGTTGAGGCTTTTTTTTGATCAGCTATTTTTGAGTGTACATAAAAAATTATCTATCGATGTTATGATCATAAAAACTTGAACATATACAGAAAACAATATGAATTTTTGTTTAAAAATGAAATTTTGACACAAAAATGGATTGTTTTCGTCTAAACAGATAGACGAACAGAAATACGAACAGAAATACGAGCCTAGAAAAAAGGACGAGCTATTTCTGGCCACCCTATCGTTATTCAATCGTATCGTAACATTGAAAACATTTTAGAACGTTGGACGGGAAAGCGACGAGCACAAAGAAGGCTTATCCACACGTGTTGTACAGTCGAATGTGGAGGCTTGTTTTAAAATAGATCTATCTACAGAGCACATGGAAATTATTGAGCTATAAACTAATCATTGAGCTATAGGCTAATTATTGAGTAATAAGCTAGCATTGAGCTATAGGCTAATTATTGGGCTATAAGCTAGCATTGAGCTATAGGCTAATTATTGGGCTATAAGCTAGCATTGAGCTATAGGCTAATTATTGGGCTATAAGCTAGCATTGAGCTATAGGCTAATTATTGGGCTATAAGCTAGCATTGAGCTATAGGCTAATTATTGGGCTATAAGCTAGCATTGAGCTATAAGCTAGCATTGAGCTATAGGCTAATTATTGGGCTATAAGCTAGCATTGAGCTATAAGCTTATTATTGAGCTATAAGCTAATTATTAACCTATAAGCTAAACATTGACCTATAAGCTTTCATTATATTCACTATTAAGGTTTTCATTTTAAAAAAGTTTAGTTAAAAAGTTTAGTTTAAAAAAAGCTATTCAAGCTTTCCTCAGTTATTTTAAAATCAAGTTTTAGTGAAAAGTTGTACGAGAAACTTTTCGATCACCCTGATCATTTCGATCATCCTGATCCTTTCGATCATCCTGATCCTTTCGATCATCCTGATCATTTCGATCATTTCCATTTCAAAAATCAAATACAAATCTTAGATTCCCATGGGTTCGCTCGCATAACGAACTCAAAACAATACCAAATTGTCGCTATCCGTACGCAAAAAAGATGGCACAGGTGAGTGGAATGGGGTACTGCAGTACCTAATAACTATTAGGTACTGCAGTACCTAATAACTTTTTGTAGAGTTGAGCAAATTTGATGATTTTTGTATCAAAATGTTTGTAAGAGTCTCTAGAATAAAACTTATCCCTTCGTTTTTGGTTCTAGACCCTCGTTGTCGAGTTACGAGCCCCAAACTGCAGGGTACCCCAAAATTTCCCATACAAAATGATCAAAAAACCGCTAAACTAAAAAAGTTCTGTCAGAGGGATTTGAAAAATTCCTTCAGATTCGGAATCAGCACAATTTTCCGCATCTAAAAAAGGTACTCCCAGAAAAATCCTATAGAAAACGCATTTTTGCCTTATTTCGCGCCGATGTGTACTGTCTTCTAAATAGCTGGATATCTTTTTTAGGTTTAAAAAAAGCTACCGTATTTACTCGAATAGAAGACCGGTCTTCTATTCGAGTAAATACGGTATATCTTATTTAGGTGTGTATCAATCCGTATCACTATGAAGCCTACGCGCCGCCGCCAAGTGAGTGCTTTGAACAACCATTTCTGAGTGCCTTGAACAACCAGTTGAACAACCATTTCTGTTGTACTGCAGCCTTTAGATCTTGATATTGTCTATATTTGCATATCTAGTATTTATTAGTAATATTGTAGTTCATATTAGATACAGTAATACCTGTAATACTGTAGCCGGAGTACCATAAAACCTTTTTGTAGATCATCACTGATATACAGTGTACTGTAAGAAGAGAACAAAAGCTTATAGATGGATAAAAATATTATTCGTATACCGTATTCTCTCTAATAGTAGTGCACCGTGCGCGTTGCCTAAATTCCTCGAAATCTCGAAAAGCGCTTATCAGAACCTATCGATGTGGGGTCGGAAAATGTAGCTTAGGATGAGATCTTGTGGGGGATTTGAGTGTTGAGCTCAGGCTCAGGCTCAGGCTCAGGCTCAGGCTCAGGCTCAGGGTCAGGCTCAGCTTCTGCAAAAGCTTCGAAACCGTAAAATAGCCATCAACTCGGCTCGGCCGGGTGCACTACTATTATAGAGAATACGGTATTTAAATATCCAGCTTACAATTAGCCAATAAAAATTAGACATATCTAGCACTAGCACAATAAAGCTTAAACCTTTACTCGGACTTTTCAGCATTACCACCGATTTTCGTGCCTCGTTCTCGAAACTACGGTGGCTTTAACCCGATGCCCGCGCAATACTATGAAGAGATTGTGAGTTAAGAATGAAATTAGATAAATGTATTTACCGTATTTATTCTAATAGAAGCGTATGAGTTTCTATTTTTCAATCATTCCACAAAATGGCTTCTATTGGAGGCTGCGCCTCTAGTGGAAACTGCGCCTCTAGTGGAAACTGCGCCTCTATGGGAAACTGCGCCTCTATTGGAAACTGCGCCTCTATGGGAAACTGCGCCTCTAGTGGAAACTGCGCCTCTATGGGAAACTGCGCCTCTATTGGAAACTGCGCCTCTAGTGGAAACTGCGCCTCTATTGGAAACTGCGCCTCTATGGGAAACTGCGCCTCTATTGGAAACTGCGCCTCTATGGGAAACTGCGCCTCTATGGGAAACTGCGCCTCTATGGGAAACTGCGCCTCTATGGGAAACTGCGCCTCTATGGGAAACTGCGCCTCTACTAGAAACTGCGCCTCTACTAGAAACTGCGCCTCTACTAGAAACTGCGCTTCTATTAGAATAACTACGGTAATTATCTCACTAAACTGCATATTTAGCTAATAATCTTAGCAATGCTTAGGTCCCAAACACCTCATTTTCTGGCGATGAGATGAGGGGCGGTTTTCTGTCAGAAGCCTCTTCACCAAGCGGTTCCGATCTCACATCTCCATCACAAGGTTTGGCTCTTTCCTATTACTAGGTACCTTTAAAAAATCGGGTATTTTAAAAGAAATTGGATACTTTAAGCAAGGTAACTTATACGATTCACCAGCCAACTTTTCACATTTTGCGTTTTTTCTTTTTCTTTCTAGACGTAGATGCTTAGTGAATTGCGCGCAAACTGCTAAAATAGAAATTCGTGCCAATTTTTCAATATCTTTCTTTCAATATCTTTAATATAGATAATTTTTATCATTTAGGTGGATCTCCATTCTTCACATCGGTTCAAATGACCTCACATAGCCAGGACGCGCTGAGCCCACAAGTGAGTTTGAACCTGGCGGACTTTGTGCTCTAGCAAACGCGGACTCTCTGGTACACTGGGTTTCTTATTTTTGATTAAAAGCAGGAAAGCAAGCAATCTATTGCGCCAGAAAGTGCGTTTGCAATAGCACAAAGTAAAGATCGGCGTGATATAAAGAGATAAGGGTGACACAAAAGCTCTGAGCCAAGTTTTTGCAAAATTTTTTTGAAAAACAGTTTAGAAATTCGAAAATCTAGATGAAATTTCGATTTATTAGGGTGGTGCAAAAGAAGCTGTGAGCTGATACTGATGGGTATCAGCTCTCATTTATCAGAAACGAGCGATGCTAACGGCATTATTTTTTTTTATGTTTTGTTCGCATATTTGTTTGCTATTTATTTCGACATTTCAATTTTTTGGTTGTTGTTTATTTTATTTAAAAATGCTTATATTTTTTATTTAGATCATGGTCGAGCAAAAGTTTGTGCTACGAGCAGCATTACTGATTAACTTCAAAATTGGAAAGTCTGCTGCCGAATCGCATCGTTCTCTCTGTCCTGCTTTCGGAGATGGCAGTTTGTCTCTCAGGCAGTGTCAGACTTGGTTTCAACGATTCCGAGAAGGAGACGAGACTTTGGAAGATTACGAGCACGGTTCGAGGCCAGAAGTCGTGAACGAAGCCAAGCCACGTGGACGAAGCCAAGCCACGTGGACGAAGCCAAGCCACGTGGACGAAGCCAAGCCACGTGGACGAAGCCAAGCCACGTGGACGAAGCCAAGCCACGTGGACGAAGCCAAGCCACGTGAACGAAGCCAAGCCACGTGAACGAAGCCAAGCCACGTGAACGAAGCCAAGCCACGTGAACGAAGCCAAGCCACGTGAACGAAGCCAAGCCACGTGAACGAAGCCAAGCCAGACGTTATTCAGGCCGATCCATGCCAATCTGCTCGAGATCTTGCGAAAATATTCCATTGTGATCATGTCACCATCGAAAGCCATCTTTTTTTTTTTTAATTTACCGTCAAATCGGCAGTTTCTTTTGCACCACCCTAATAAAAAACATTTTTTCGCAAAAACAACCTTCTCATCGAGTAAAAAGACAGATTTTCATTTAAAAAAGTTAAAAATAAAAGTAAAACTGGAAGTTTACGACTCGCCAACTTTTTCGAGCTATAAGTTTTCCCTTTCAGCTTCAATCAATCTGAAATTTTGCTATTCGTTTAAGAAAGAGTTTAAAAAAAGTAGAATTTCTTTTGATTGACTACGTTTAATGATAAATTTTAGGAAATTCAGTTGATTTTTGAGAGAAATTGAAGCGACCAGGCATTTGGGTTGATTTTGGCGATATCTTTTTTAATTAAAAGACTTGATTTTTGCTTGTAAAGCCTTAAATTTAGCACAAAATGCTATAATTGCTATAGTTACAAACGTTTTTAAGAATATTCAGCTTTGCATCGTTTTTTGTTAGCTTAAGAGTTGAATTTGACGATCGAAAAACAAGTTGGCTTTGAACTTTTGTGTCATCAAGATGAAAAGGCTTATTTAGTCATAGAAAAATTAATGCAGAAGTTTAGAAAGTACAGTTCTTGTATCCAACGACTTTCAGAGAAAATTATTTATATTTTAGAGTTATCTATCTGATGATGCTCATCAAGAGATGATGGAGGTCGATGATGAGAGTGGAGAGCAAAGATCATCACAGGCGAACACTCCGGATAGTATTGGTTGGTACTTTCTTTATGCTTTATTGGTTGGTACTTTACTTGATTGGTAATTGGAGTAAACGCTCCCTTTCTGGCGCACTTAATTCCCCATTTTTCCAGACAACCAAGTGCACTAGAAAGTAGACGTTTTACAAAAGCACAAAGCACAGCTAATTCTCTGAATGAAAAGTGTTTAGGTTCAAATGAATTGGTCGAGTATTGGGAATCGGATTGTTGGATGACATTGACATATCATGAAATGGATAAACGAGTCGGAGAGCCATTCAACGCCGCGCATCCATATTTGCTCGTTGACGGCTTTTCGGCTCCTCACGATACAGAAAGGTTCGGACAAGTCGTACTTTGTGCTAAAGCTTAGGCTTAGCTTAACCTTAGCTTAGCTTAGGCTTAGCTTAGTCTTGGCTTAGGCTTAGGCTTAGCTTAGGCTTAGGCTTAACTTAGGCTTAGCTTAGCTTAGGCTTAGCTTAGGCTTAGGCTTAGCTTAGGCTTAGGCTTAGCTTAGGCTTAGGCTTAGCTTAGGCTTAGCTTAGGCTTAGGCTTAGCTTAGGCTTAGCCTTAGCTTAGGCTTAGCTTGGGCTTAGCTCAGGCTTAGTTCTGGTGCTGGCGCTCTAGATTCCGTACTTTGTGCCTGCAACGTCCCAGTCCTAGTGTACTTAATCTGATCAAAACCTTTCTTTGTTCAGATTTTGTCTCGGCTACTTAAACAACGTGAATCGATTACCGACAGTGGCTGATGCAAGACGGCATATTGGACGTGGACTTCGCTTCTACTATATTGGTGGAGAGGTAGGCATAAAATCCATCATATTATAGATTTATAGTTGGTATTACTGTACAGAGTGTAGCAGGATTATTGCAACCAATATTTTTTAAAGGATAGAAACTGATAAAAGAGAGAACAGAGAACATCTAAGGATCGTTAGATCTTTAGACCTTTAGATCTTTAGAACTTTAGATCTTTAGAACTTTAGACCCTTAGGGACTTTAGATCCTTAGATCCTTAGATCTTTATTAACTACTGCATCTTGTTAGTACAATATCTTTTCAGGTTTACATTGAATGTCTCTCCGAGGCGGCCGTTTTTGTGCAAAGTCCGAATTGCAATCAACGCCATGGCTGGCATCCGAGCACTGTTTGTAAGGTTGGTTATAAGCTATCCAGCTTTTGATTTATCTTTATTCAGCTTTAGATTTAGCTTTAGATTTATTCAGCTTTAGATTTTTAAAATCACTTTCACAAAATTTTCAATTTCTTACAGGTGCCGCCACATTGCAACTTGAAAATTTTCAACAACGCCGAGTTCGCGCAAATGTTGTCAGCGTCGGTGAAAAAGGTGATTTTAACTAAAGTTAGTAATCAAATTAGCACAAAAAAACCTGGCCAGATATTCAAATCTCTAAATTTTCAGGGCTTTGAGGCGGTCTACGCGTTGACGAGGATGTGCACGATTCGGATTTCTTTCGTTAAAGGATGGGGAGCCGAGTATAGGAGACAGACGGTGATGCATACACCGTGTTGGATAGAGGTGGGGGGAAAAAGAGGAAAGTAGAGTACTTTGTAAAGTGCTATATTGAGATTGAGATTGATACAATGTTACGTCCGAATCCGATCCATTTTCTTTGTGCCGAATTCGGACGTGCGAACCTGGCTTAAACGTCCGAATTCGTCCTTTGGATTGAATCCAATGCAAGCTGTATTTAAATTAATGTAAATATGGGCGTAGTACTGTACATAGTACTAGTCCGTTGTACTGTACTGGTTCGTTGTACTGTACTGGTCCGTTGTACTCTACTATACTGGTCCGTTGTACTGTACTGGTCCGTTGTACTGCACTGTACTGGTCCGTTGTACTGTACATAGTAGTGGTCCGTTGTACTGTACTGTACTGGCCCGTTGTACTGTACATAGTACTGGGCTGTTGTACTGTACATAATACTGGCCCGTTGTACTGTACTGTACTGGTCCGTTGTACTGTAGTGTACTGGTTCGTTGTGCCAGTACTAAGTGCTGCACGAGTCAATACTATAGAATTAGCATCTTTGCATCTATTTAAATACACCTTGCATCGGATACGATTCAAAGGAAAGATTCGAACGTGACAACAATAAGACTTTACTCTTTGTGTCAGAGTTATTGTACGTACAAATTTTTCAGGCTCACCTAAACGGTCCCCTGCAATGGATCGATCGAGTGTTGATCTCGATGGGCGCCCCATCGACAATTCATTCGTCTTATACTTAAATAAATCCCTTGACAGGTTGATTGTACTTTGTGCCCACGTAAACGCACACCATCTGGGTTCATCAAATGAGATATCTGGCATCGAGTTTGCCAGAAAGCGGGCGTTTGTGTGAGAGCCTAAAGTAGGGGCTAGAGTCAGCCCCCGCGTACTTTGTGCTCAACAGAAACATCTACTTTCTGGTAGGTTGGATCTTTCTTTCTTTCTGAATCTTTTGAAGACTAGTGTGCCAGCAGCACGCGTTTATGTATGAGCACAAAGTCCTCCCTTTTTTTTCCCCTTTTTAGCCTAGCTCCAATTCTAATTTATTATTTTCTTCACGATTTAGTTTTTTTTTTTTTTTTTTTCGAAAAATCTCCTAACTAATCCTTTCTCTTGCCCAAATTTAGCCAAAATTTTATTTTAAAACAAAAATTGGCGATTCAATCCATTCAGCTATATGTGAATTGAATGAATTGAATGAAATGAATGAAATGGAACCCCGTTTCCCCCCCCCCCCCCCCCCCAAAAAAGTTAGGTCTTTCAAATGAAAATTCTCAAATTTCTATTTTCTTTGAATATTTTATATTGAAACGGTTGTTTAAAGTTTTTCAATTTTTAATTCTTTTTCTATTTTTAATTCTTTTTGAATTCAATTCACTGAATACTTATATTTCTTTTTGTTTCTTTCTTTTGTTTTGTTTTTTGAGATCCCCGTTTGGCAGCTAAATTTGATGCTATTTGATGCTATATTTTTTAGGAATGGACTCTCTGGGAATAGATTTAGAATTGAAAATCGATCTGTACGTTTTCGAAAAGGTGGATAATTCGGGGGTGGGACAAATGCGACCTTTTTTGCGCACCTGGACATTTGCGTACTTTTTTTTTGCTGGAAAAGGCCTTAGGAAAGGTCGTAAAGCTTCAAAAATAATCCATTTAAAGGAATCGTATGCGTAGATTCCGAATTTCGACAAATCAGACCTCGCTGACACGTCAAATTTGGGCTAAAAGGCAAAAACTACGCAACTTAACGCTTTTCCGCAGTTTTTGCCTTTTAGCCCAAATTTGACGTGTCAGCGAGGTCTGATTTGTCGAAATTCGGAATCTACGCATACGATTCCCTTATATGGAAATATTTTCGAAGCTCTACGACCTTGCCTAAGGCCTTTTCCAGCAAAAAAAAGGTGCGCAAATGTCCAGGTGCGCAAAAAAAGGTCGCCTCGCTCAAAAAAGGTCGTTTTGTCCTACCTCCGTAAACTTAGACTACGCGACGATCTATTAGAGTTTTTACGGTGTGCAGTATGCAAATTTAAACTTTTCATTGATGAATTTGCAGGTTTTTTTTTCACAGTAGTGCGAAATATATTTTTCTTTTTTTCTAATTTTTAGTTTATTTTCTATTTTTTTATTTTCTAGTCTTTTAAGCTAAATATTTTTTCGGATTTAGATTCGAGAAAATCGATTTACAATATAAACTATTTGCAGCCAGTATAATGATTTAGGTAAATCTTATTTATTAGGTTGATGCATAAGTCTTTTCGTTTTTTTCGTACTTCTGTTAAAAAGTAACAAATTCACCAATTAATCTAGAGTTTGCTCTATAAAAAAAAAGTGTTTTTTTGTTCAATTAGCATCTTTTTAAATGAATTTCGGTTCACTTTCAAGCAAATTCGAGAGTGAAAAACGCCTTTTTCGTAAAAATCTATAAAAAAACTCTACGGAAAAATTGGCTGAATGAATTTCTCTGAAATTTTGGCGAAATATCAAACGTTTTTTTTCTCTATCTTTTATCTATTGACACGAAGATAGGTTTTCTTTAGCTAAGGTGTCTAAACCGCATCATCGAGTTAGCCCTTTTTGACTACCCGACTTCATACTCTCAAGAAAATCCAGGCATTAAATATTTTTAAACCCGTTTTTATGTTATTTTGCAGAAAAATAATTGCTTTTTCTAATGAAATCAACCGTAGTTTAATTGGTGCATTTGTTGGCTTGAAACGGCAGACGAAAAGGAACAAAAACACTTATGCATCAACCTATTAAAATAAAATAATCACAGCTTAAATCGCGCTGTTTTTTGGATCAAAAGTTGGATCAGTTTTGGATCAGTTAATCTAAAATAAAAGTTATTCGATTGAAGAGAAAAAGCAAAAAAAAAAAGCATAAAGAAAACGAACTAATAGTAAGAAACATTGAGAAAAAGTGAAAAAAAAGTAGTGGCTACTTTGCGCCAAATTTTTTGCACAACACGAAACCATAACTTTCTTCTAAGTGGACCAATCTTTATGATTTTGGTGTCATTTTGTAGATCTCAACAAGTGCAACAAAATGAGACCAAAATCATAAAGATTGACCTACCGTAAATACTGTAATAGTACCCCATCCCCCTTGTACAGTCGCGTAGTCGCAAAAGTTTTTTAGTATTTCATTTTTTTCAAAGCGCCCGTACTTTCAAAAAATGCGTCTTTGGTATCAAAAAATAGCTGAAATTCAGGGCTATTTTTTGAGACCTGACAAGGATTTGTATAATGTTATTTAATGATTGACAAGGCGAGTTTAAGCGGGGTGTAGAGCCTCAGGACTCGTTGAACCATTGAATGTTTACTTCGTTCAACAATTTAAAGGCGTAATGGAAAGAATTCACGATCACATTCGAGCCAGCAAACCGGATTTCAAGATCAGCAAGCGAGACAATACCATTAAAGTTCTTTCGGTTGTGTGTGAGCAGCTTAAAGCTTCAGTATTTTTCAAGTAAAGCGGGTAACTTGGAAAGGTTCCCTTGTAAGCGCGCATTGTAGCATAAGCCAGTGTCGAGAAAAACTCGTTCAAAGCTAGACTACGCAACGCTCCGCTTTGAGCGAGTTTTTGTCGAGACTGGTTTATGCTAGAATACTGGCTTAGGTACCAAAAAATAGCTGAAATTCAGGGCTATTTTTTGATACCAAAACGAACATTGTAGCATAAACCAGTGTCGAGAAAAACTCGTTCAAAGCTAGACTACGCAACACTCCATACCGTCATTATGGGGGTGGGGTACTATTAAAGTATTTACGGTAATTAGAAGAAAGTTATGGCGAGTTGGCACAAAGCCACCCCCGTGAAAAACGTTAACGCGCTCCTTATATACTGCGCTTTACACATAAAAGATATTCAGCCCATTGCAAAAATTTCTTTAATTGACGCATTAATTGAGAAAAATCTTGATTAATTGCTTTTTAATCGATTCAAAATTTGAATAAATTTACGTTTAATTTTTAATTTATTATAAATTTCCTTTATAGTTCCTTCAAAGTTCCTTTATGGTTCCTTTAAAGTTCCTTTATAACCCCTTCATAATCCCTTCATAGTTCCTTTCATAGTTCCTTTCTAGCTCCTTTCTAGTTACTTTATAGTTCCTTTCAAGCCCCTTTAAAGCTCCTTTATAGTTCCTTTAAAGCTCCTTTATAGTTCCTTTATCGTTCCTATTTAGTTCCTTTGAAGCTCCTTTAAAGCCCCTTTAAAGCTCCTTTATAGTTCCTTTAAAGCTCCTTTAAAGCTCCTTTAAAGCTCCTTTAAACTTCTAAGATTTAAACTTCAACTTCTAAGATTTTCGAGCTGCGCCAATAAAGACAACAATAAAGAAATAAAGACAATAAAGACACTAGCCACTTGCACTTTGCAACTTTTCAATATTGATTTTGAATTTAAATTCAATTTCCCCAGTCTCTCCATTCCGAAATTCTCTTTCTATTCTCTAAAAAGCAACTTTTTTATTCATTTTTATAAGTCGAAAAGATTTTTGTGATATTTCCTTTTTTTGTGAGTTCCGACCGAATAAACTATTAAAAAAAAACAGAAAATAAAACCCAAAAAGTGTTTAATCGTTTTTAAAAATAAATAAAACCCAAAAAGTGTTTAATCGTCAATAAAAAATACGAAAAAAAAAACATAAACAGGGAAAATTACGCACGGCGTTTTTTTTTTCAAAAAAATCTTTCAAAAATAGCAAAAAAAAAAAAGTGAGCTTCACAAAAAATTAGGCTGAAAGGTTTTAGAAAAAATTTATTTAAAAAAGAATCAATGGGAATGCAAAGTGGATTGGAGGAGAATGGGAAGGGGGATTTTTGAAATGCAAATTACTTTCGTTAACTTTCGTTAAAAACTTAATCTAACTACAGTAGTGCAGAGCTAAACCAGTGTACTTTGTGCGCACACGAACACTCACTTTTTTGACCCACTAGGCTTTCCATAAGTGTGCCAGAAGGTTTCCGTTTGCACACAAAGTACCCAACCAGATCAAGCTCAGTATTAAAAAGAAAGCCATCAGCTCGGAGAGTCGAATCTAGAGATCTAGAGTCTGATCTAGAGTCTAACCTAGAGATCTAGAGTCTAACCTAGAGATCTAGAGTCTGATCTAGAGATCTAGAGGATAATCTAGTTATCTAGAGTCTAATCTAGAGATCTAGAGTCGAATCTAGAGATCTAGCGCCTAATCTAGAGATCTAGGGCCTAGTCTAGAGATCTAGAGTCAAATCTAAAGCTCTAGAGTCTAATCTAGAGATCTAGAGTCTGCTCTAGAGATCTAGAGGATAATCTAGTTATCTAGAGTCGAATCTAGAGATCTAGAGTCGAATCTAGAGATCTAGGGCCTATTCTAGAGATCTAGAGTCTAATCTAGAGATCTAGAGTCGAATCTAGCTCAGATCTAAACAAGTATAGGTCCAGCTCTGATTTTATAGAGAAACTCCCACTCTCCACCCAGAAGATCAACTCGAATACATCTAAAAGATGAAAAAGAAATAGGAAAATGAGAAAAACGCATAAAATTATATAAAAAAAACGATTCCTAGGCAGTTTTTATTGTAAAGGGTAAAGAAAATTGAATGCGAAAAGCCTCTAGTAACACCGTTTCCATCACATTTGGATACAATGTTGATCACTTGTCGGTTAGAAAGTTACAAATCAATTTGTAAGTATTCGAGTATTTTTGAGGTTTAATGGATACAATTAATGATTAAGGCGCATTAATCGATTAAGGCACGATTAAGGCGCGAATAACGAACGATTAAGAACACTTTTTACTTTTCTCATTTATTTGTTCAGTTTTTCCCTTGTTTTTTGTCTTCCTTTGTTATTTTGGCCTTTGGTCAGAGACGGATCCGAACCAAAGCGAGCGTTCAAAAGTGAAAAGCGAGCGTTCAAAGTTCAAAAGTGAGCGAACTATCCACTAGGCTACGAGTTTACTTTGATATGCCTCAAAGAGATGTTATTTTAAAGAGATGCTATTTTAAAGACATGCTATTTTAAAGAGATGCTTTCATGAAAATCAGTCTGCCAGAAATCCGAGAAAAGCTTTCAGAAAATCATCAACTTTAAGGCCATTTTTAACCGATTTTCATAAACCTTTTTGTGGTTTTTGATTGCATATTCAGAATCAGCCATTTTTTCAATAAAATATCGCTATGTCGTTAGTCTGAGTCTGAGCCTAAGCCTGAGCCTGAGCCTAAGCCTATGCCTAAGCCTAAGCCTGTGCCTAAACCTATGCCTAAGCCTAAGCCTAAGCCAAGCCAAAGCCTAAGCCTGAGCCTGAGCCTAAGCCTGAGCCTAAACCCAAGCCTAAAACTAAGCCTAAGCCTAAGCCTGAGCCTGCGCCTAAACCTATGCCTGAGCCTAAGCCTAAGCCTAAACCTAAGTCTAATCAGATCTCAAATTCCAGACACTAGATCGACCTGAAAATTTGCCAGGATGCTCCTCTGGGGGGCGCATGCACAACACCAAACGGGTGTGCCTTAGCTCCGAGAACTCGCTGAGATCCAAAAAATGGGGGTTCAGCCCAAACCCAAATAGACTTAGTGCTAGGCGCTAGCCGCTAGCCTACGCACTAAGTCCAAGCCTTGGATCTGCGTTGGCCAAAGCCTGACTCAGCTTTTCTGTCTTAATACTGACTGTGAACTCAAGAACTATCCAAGCTCTCTCAAAAATACTCTTGACTGAAAAGATACAAAAATAAAGTGAAAAAATGGCTAGTGTTTTTGGATGGCACGAGAAAGAAGATAAAGATAAAGATAAAGAAGATAAGATAAAGAAGATAAAGAAAATCAAGATAAAGAAAATCTTTAGCGACCTGGAGCCTGGGTTTTGGAGAAAATTTCCAAGCCAATTTGTAAATAAAAATAGCAAATAGCTAACAAAGAAAAGAAAGGGGAAATCGGTCTCAGAAAGACACTAAATTTCATAATTTCATAGGAGATTCGGGCAAAAAAAAGATGAAAAAAGAAAAACAAAAGCTGGGTAAGCTCATTGGAAATTGATTTGAGTTGAGATTTGGGATGGATTTGGGGAGTTTTATGGAGTTAAAGCATGGATTGGATGATCTAGAACTGATGATCTAGAGGTGACCTGCGCTTTGGCTGCACTTAGATCAATCCTGGATCTAAACCTGGCCTAGACTTTGGTCTAGACTTTGGCCTAGACTTTGGTCTAGACTTGATCTAGAACTAAACTTGTTCAAAACTAAACTTGTCTAGAGCTAGAGCTAGAGCTGTGCTAGAGCTAGAGCTAGAGCTAGAGTTAGAGCTAGAACTAGAGCTAGAGCTAGAGCTAGAGCTAGAACTAGAGCTAGAGCTAGAGCTAGAGCTAGAGTTAGAGCTAGAGTTAGAGCTAGAGCTAGAGCTAGAGCTGGAATCATTCTTGAAATCTTCTCCATCTTACCAAATCCCAAACAAATCACTGAGTAGCAAAAAGAGAACGAAAAGAAGAAATAAAAAAAGGAAAGATTGATGTTTATTGTGGAGTGATCGGTGCAAAGATGACCTCATATCTGATCGGCGTATCGATTGCATATAAGCGCTGATAATTCGGTCCCCATCCCTTTCCAACACTGATCGTTAACGTTGACGGTTGACTTGAATCCGTCCGAGAAGCTCGTCTTTTCTGAAAAGCACTTTTTATATAAAACTTGGGCTATTCGACTGAGTAGTAGATCTAGATTCCGATCTAGATTTGGACCTAAGCCTGAACCTAAGCCTGAGCCTGAGCCTAAGCCTAAACCCAAGCCTATGCCTTGGATCTGCGTTGGCCAAAGCCTGACTCAGCTTTTCGGTCTAATTGTAAGAATAAAAGCAGAATCTCTGACTCACAGAATTCTGCTGTTTTTCTTCATCGATTGGCCCTTCTCCTTTGTTCACACGGACACAATATCCGGGAGTTAATCTCCTCAAATGATCGGGACGAGCCGATGATTGTGTTGAGGTGGAAATCGAGAGGAAAAGGGGACGAGTGCCACTGAAGTTGAAGATAAAGAATTGAATTTGAATCTACTATAGATAAAAGAGCAGTCTGTCTGTCTGTTTGCCTGCTGTCTGTCTGTCTATCTGTCTGTCTGTCTATCTGTTTGTCTGTCTGTCTATCTGTCTGTCTGTCTGTCTGTCTGTCTGTCCGTTATCTGTATGCGCGAGTTCTCGGCTCCCGGTAGGCCGATTTATATGATTTTTAGTTTCTTAGCCTTCAAATTCTATATAGTTGCGGATCTCATATTTCGTTTTTTTAAAAAGCAAAAGTCACGACACAGACAGGAGTCGAACCCGGGTCGTGTGAGCCGCAGACAAGCGCGCTACTCACTGCGCCAAAGTTGGCAAGGCGAAAATAGCGAAAGTTTACATATAAATTCGCTAACTTTAGCAAAGATCCAACCTGTTATACAGCCAAACATCGGGGGGATTCGCCGAGCCGATCGGATCGGATTGTCGTATCAAAGCGAAGGAGACCTCGAATTGATTGTTGAAGGAAATTTCATTTTCCAATAATACTGTATTTATTGTACTTTTAGTACTTTACAGTACTATATTCCACCAAACTCACCTCGTGTTTTGTATCGAAATCCGCGGAGACGGGCTGCGCGTCTAAAACAGCAGTTGCTAGAAGGCCGATCGCGGCGAATTGTCCTGGAAAAGGTATAGTTTTTAAAATTAGCAGGGATTTGTAAAAGCTGAATAGCTACACAAAAACTATATCCAAATCTGGTTTAGATCTAACCAGAACCTGACCTGAAGCTGGCTCACAACTAGATCTAGGGCTGGTCTGGCTCTAACCTGAGCTTGAATCTAGATCTGGAGCTGGTCTGGCTCCAAACCTGAGCCTGAATCTAGATCTAGAGCGGGCCTGGCTCTAAACCCGAGCCTAAATCTAGATCAGGAGCTGGTCTGGCTCTAAACCTGAGCCTGAATCTAGATCTGGAGCTGGCCTGGCTCTAAACCTGAGCCTAAATCTAGATCTGGAGCTGGCCTGGCTCTAAACCTGAGCCTAAATCTAGATCTGGAGCTGGTCTGGCTCCAAACCTGAGTCTGAATCTAGATCTGTCTTGGATCTGGCTTACTATTAGATCTAAACCTAATCTGTTAACTTGTTCAACTACTCTGTATTAGGTTTGCCAGATTATCGATTAAGAAATGCAAAAATAAGATCTCCTATGAAAATAACGGTAACTCATCCCAATTCCAGAAATCCAATATAGCTGGAGCTGGCCTGGCTCTAAACCTGAGCCTGAATCTAGATCTGGAGCTAACCTGTCAACGCCACGGTGTCCCCTATCCTTTCTCTTTTCTCCCATCGCTCGAGTCGGGCCCACGCTGAAAATCGTTGATTTTCTTCAAAAAAACCAATCTCAAACATATAAAACATAGAAAAATGAAGTTTTCACATGCAAGCTAACAATATTTTTTTTTTAAAAAAGGCGTAGGCAAAAATGAGAAAAATAAACGTGGAGACTTTTTCGTTTACCTGTAAGCAATTTCCCATCTTTTTGCCTAACTATGAAGCCAGTGGCTGGAAAAGGAAAAAAGAATGTTTAAGAATGTTTAAGAATGTTTAAGAATGTTTAAGAAATGGTTACTAGAATCAATTCGTAGCTAATCTTTTTCAATTTAGTTTTTAAGAAATTGCAGCTTTGTTCTAACAATAAATGCTAGAACAAAGAAAGAAATTGCAGCTAACAAAATCGAAAATCAAACCAATGGGATTGTGTGGTGATGAGGGTGATTGCTGTTGAGAGACATCGACAGAAAGCACATCGAGATCCGGGATTGGAAGCGGAGAATCGGTGGGCAGAGACGGAGGTCGACCCATCGGTGGGCCTTCCGTTTCCCAGCCTGAAAATTTTGATTATTCGCTTTCCCACGCTTTTCCCACGAGTGCACGTTTTCAGTGTTGTTCTAACCTATTCTAACCTATTTTCCAGCTAAAGTACGCGCTACTACTATTGGGTTGGTGAATTGAAAACTGCCGGACTTTGAACTAAAATTTATTCAACATAAAACCATCAATTCATTCCAAATAATTTCCATTATTATTGACGACTTCTGCCCATTTTACAGGCAATTTGCGGATTCCTCTTTCGTAGTAGGATTTTGGTTTGTGTGTGAGACAAGGGTGAGACTCAAAAATGGAGGACTGGAGACTCAAAAATGAAGGAATGTCCCAGTTTAAGCCTTTTCTTCAAAAGAAACCCATTTTGGTGTCAATAGAAAAGTTGTAGAGAATCAAAAATTAGGCTTATAGCCAAATTTCCAAAAAGATACACTTAGTAGTTTTGCTTAAAATGCAAGTTTTGTGAAAAATTGGCACAATTTGGTGTAAATTTGGCATTTCTTGAAAACCAGTTTTTGAATCGTTCTGAAAATTTGGATATAAGCTTCATTTTTGATTCTCTACAACTTTTCCATTGACACCAAAATGGGTTTCTTTTGAAGAAAGTGCTCAAACTTTGACATATGACAATAGCCGGCAGTTTTCAATTCACCAACTCAATAAATTAAAAATAATAATTAATAATAAATAATTAAAAAAGTAATTACAAAAGTAATTAAACAAATTGGGTTTAATTTCATTTTACTTTAAATCAATTTAAAGGAATTCTCTCTTGAAATAATAAAATTCTGCCTTTCGGATGCCTTTCGCACCGTCTACCGTACACTTTGCCTTTCAGACGTTTCCGCGCCAAACGTCGGAAACTACCGTAACCCGACGCAATAAAAAGACCCGGTCAAAAAGAATTTTTCAGTCTTTCGTCGTGTTTTATTTTTTCTGTCTTTTTTTTTCCATTGACACCAAAATGGGTTTCTTTTGAAGAAAGTGCATTTTACTTTAAATCAATTTAAAGGAATTCTCTCTTGAAATAATAAAATTCTGACGACAGATGCCTTTCGGACCGTCCACCGTACACTTTGCCTTTCAGACGTTTCCGCGCCAAACGTCGGAAACTACCGTAACCCGACGCAATAAAACGACCCGGCCAAAAAGAATTTTTCAGTCTTTCGTCGTGTTTTATTTTTTCTGTCTTTTTTTTTCCATTGACACCAAAATGGATTTCTTTTGAAGAAAGTGCTCAAACTGTCACATATAACAATAGCCCGCAGTTTTCAATTCACCAATCCAATATTTCCTGGATCATACTTAGGGATAGTTGAGAACTAAAACCGGATTTGAATTCTGGACCTCAAAAAAACTGTGGTTAAAAATTAGCTAGCATACAGGACGCGTCACAATTACTGCCTCTCTTACAATAGAATTTAGCTGTACTAGAGAATCTGTAGTCTACAAGTTTCCTTTATTACAATAGTACGGTAGCTATACGGTAGTACAACAGTTCGGTAGATATACGGTAGTATAGTACAGTACTACAATAGTACGATAGCTTTCTTGTATTCTAAACTAACAGTTTTCCTTGATCCCTTGCTCAAAAGCCTTATTTCCTAGTACCAATCAACTCCGTAGACCCTATAACCTTGTAGTACCCTTTAGCTACAGTAATCGTCTCCATTACCTACAAATCTACAGCAATCTTCTTCAACTTAAAGCAACAATGCTTCCTCAATGCCTTGATGAAAAGCTGTGTCCCTTGTATGCGTACATGGGTGTTGAGGGTGTCCCCAGCTCTGGCCAAAGTCTCAAGGGACTTCAGGGCGACCCTCACCGCTAAAATAAATCTCTGCTACAAGGGAAAAAAGAAGCGGAAAAGAAGAGGTGGAGAAAAAATTGCTCACAAATTTCTCCTCGACTTCTCCTTTCACTTCTTTTTCGCTCCAGGACACGATACTTTTTGTGTGTGCCGACCCCTCCAAATGCTTAAATTATGGCCCACTGACTTAAAAAAGGCAAGCCCAGGGTCCAGGGCAAGTCCAGGGTCCAGGGCAAGCCCAGGGTCTATTTGAGGTGGAATTGTAATTTTGATGCTGTAGACATCAGACTTTGGAGATGATAATGTAATTGTCGCTGGATCTGGCTTGGCTAAGGATTAGGCTAGGCTTAGGCTCGGGCTTAGGCTTGCTAAAGAGTGCCTAGATTGTCAGGAACTGCCCCTAAACAGTGACAAAGCTAAAAAGCTACAGTATAGTACAGTTTATGATATCAGAACGGAATCAGAACGGTTACAATCAATCAGAACAATCAGCTTACCCTGTAGCCGGCTTGTCGATGGTTGTTGAGGATTGATTAAATGTCCGTTTCCTTGTTGTTGTGGTTGTTGATCGTTTTGTTGTTTCTCCTTTCCCCGTTCGATCTTTCGTCCATCTTCGTCGGTTTCTTCTTCGAACGAACTGGCCTAGAAATTTGGGAAAGAGTTAGATAACAGTTCTTTAGCTAATAAGGCGCTACGAGCTACAACTACAACTACAAACTACAACTACAAACTACAAAGCTAAACTACAAACCCTTGTAGAAACGCGCAGAATAGATATTTTGAAAAACTTTCTTTACGAAAAAATTCAGCTAACTTTAGGCTTTCGAATGACACCAAAATCAGGGTTTTTCCAAATTTGTAGTCCGACAAACGACAAATACTGACTAAATATTAGGTTGTCCAATAAGTAATGCGTGTTACTTATTTCGAAACTATTGCGAAATCGCTTCGAGCAAATATATGCTCTTTTTAATCATCAGCATCTTGTGTTTATTTTTATATATTATTTTATTCATTTGCCTTTGTTTTATAATAGATATGTTGTTTTGCAGATGAAAGACAAAAAGTTTGTTGTCCGCGCATCAATGCTGTATGATTTCAAACGAGGTAAAACTGCAGCGGATTGCCATCGAACTATCTGTGCCGCATTTGGAGAAGATTCAATTTCAACCAGCGCTGGTTTAAACGATTTGCGGACGGAAACGAGTCGTTAGAGGACGAGGAACGCGCTGGAAGGCCAGTCGTTTTTGATAACGAAGCTTTGCTTAACACCATGACGGACTTCACTCTTTGCTCGGACGATGGAGAAATGTTGTTGATTGTTGTGGAGAATATATCGATTAATAAAGTTCTCTTTTGTTAATTTTGTGATATTTTGAAAATCGTGTCAAAACACGCATTACTTATTGGACAACCTAATAGCTATAAATGACTCGTTCTCGGGGTAAAAATGATGGATTAACTTGCTTTTGGTGTCATTCGAAAGCCTAATAGTTGGCTCAATTTTTTCGTAAAAAGAAATTTTCAAAAATATCTATTCTGCGCGTTTCTAAAACGGCTTCTAGCAGACATGGACACTAGAAAATACAAACGTAAACTACAAACGCCTCTAACTTGGTTCAAATCTGCCGAATTGTTATGATCTATAGCTCAAAAGATAGAGAAATTCAAGAGCTTTCAAATGAACTGAAGCACAGATCAAAACCTCAATGCTAATGAAAGTTACAGTGGTTTGTAGTGGAAACGAACCGTACTCACGCGTAGTCAAGCTACAAACCACTGTAACTTTCTTTAGCATCGAGCTTCTGATCTGTGCTTTAGTTCATTCGAAAGCTCTTGAGATTCTCTATTTTTTAAGCTATAGAACACCTCAATCAAACAGATTTGAAGCAAGTTAGATGCGTTTTTAGTTTACGTTTGTAGTGTATAGTGCTCATGCCTAGTTTATAGTCTGTCTTTGTAGTTTGTGGCGTTTATAGCTAGTAGCTAAAGATAACAGATGATGATGATGATGATAATAATAATAATAATAATAATAATAATAATAATAATAATAATAATAATAATAATAATAATAATAATAATAATAATAATAATAATAATAATAATAATAAGCCCACTATGTGCCCCACTTTCTGCCGCACTTTCCGAAATAAAGTGGCGATACTTCAAGTATTGTTGCTTCAAGTAAGATCAAGTATTGTTGCTTGAACTAATCTTGAGGAGTAAAGCGCTTACTCCTCTAGTTACTCCTCTAGTTACTCCCCTAGTTACTCCTCTAGTTCTTCCTCTAGTTACTCCCCTAGTTACTCCTCTAGCTACTCCTCGAGTTACTCCTCGAGTTACTCCTCTAGCTACTCCTCTAGTTACTCCTCTAGTTACTCCCCTAGTTACTCCCCTAGTTACTCCTCTAGTTCTTCCTCTAGTTCTTCCTCTAGTTACTCCTCTAGTTACTCCTCTAGTTACTCCTCTAGTTACTCCTCTAGTTACTCCTCGAGTTTAGTTCCAAATCTTATTGGTAACAACGAGATTATCGAAACCCACTTCTGCCCGTATCCACAATGCATAATGATATGGATTGCAACAAGAAACTGTGGCATTGTTGATGGTGACTCGGCCGAAACGACACCAAGGAAGAGCCTCGAGACGATGCAATGCTGCATCTACCTGAATAGGAAAAGATTTTAAATCCTTTAAACTTAAATGATTAGCTTAAATTATTAGCTTAAATTATTAGCTTAAATTAATTGTCAAGAGTCAGAGCTAACGATGATTGGAAAGCTAGTCATAGAAAGTAATAGCTAGTGTAATAGAAAGTAATAGATAGAAAGTAATAGCTAGAAATGGCTAATGAGTGCTGTCGTGGGTTTGAAGCGTGTTACTCCTCGTGTTTAGTTCCAAATCTTATCATTAACATACCAAATGTTGCTAAGAGACTAGAGAATCTAAATCTATGCATAGATTTTTCAAATAATGATTGTAAAAGATTTTATTGGGGTTCTTATGCTTTTCAAGATACTTTGAGGTTGAAGCAGCGACTTTGAGGTTTTCTAAGCAACGAAGTCAATTTTTCCAAGTCGATTAACCACTACCACGATTAGCCAGTCAGATTTTATTGGGGTTCTTATGCCTATTAGCTAATAAGTCATGTCTATTAGCTATGTCTATTAGCTAATAAGTCAATGTCATCAAAAGTTCCACCAATTCCACCAATTTTCAACATCCCCAATAATTTCCTCATTTTCTTCTCCCTTTTCGCTCATTTGAATGGAAAATGGGACGGAAAATGGGACGGAAAATGATCGTCATAAGCTTGAGAACCGAAATCGGACACCCGGTTTCCCCTTTAGAGACATTTGAGTGCATTTGCTGGAAAGGAAAAAGAGGAATGGGATAGGCTGAGGAGCTCTTTAAAGTCTAGACATTGAAAAGAAATTGAATGGAAATGAATGAAGATGAATGAAGATGAAGATTAATTGAAATTTTGAGTTTATTCTTTGGTGTACTTTGTGCTTCGGCGTACTTTGTGCTGTTTAAACGCTCTCTTTCTATCGTACTATCGTTTCTGTCGTTTCTATTCTTTCTATATTCACTTTTCTTGAAGCTTTTTATCTTGATATCTGAAGAAAACAAAGAATCAAGTGCACCAGATCGATTGTGTTTACTAGATTTAGGCACAAAGTACGGTCCAATGTACTCTGTGTTATACCAATGTACTTGTATCAATGTACCAATGTACTTCGTGTTCAAATCTTGTAGACACACTCTTTCTGGTCCACTGAAAGCTTCGTTTCTCGTGAAAATTTGGAATCAAATGTGCTGGAAAGGGTGCATTTACAAGAGCACAAGGTACACGATCTTATTGGTGAACCTGTAGATCTTTCCATCGCCACATCTTGCAACATAAATACGGCATCGACATTGGGCGATCGATTTGAGGGATAAGACCCGAGTCTTCTTCCTGAAAAGTATAAAAATCATAACAATGAAATATCAGAATATTATAATATAAGAATTTTATAGCAAAGAATGCTAGAATGCTAGAATGCTAGAATGCTGGAATGCTAGAATGCTAGAATGCTCGAATGCTAGAATGCTGGAATGCTAGAATGCTGGAATGCTGGAATGCTAGAATGCTAGAATGCTAGAATGCTAGAATGCTAGAATGCTAGAATGCTGGAATGCTAGAATGCTAGAATGCTTTCTAGCATTCTATTAGGTTGGCCGGAAAGTTCTTTCCGTTTTTTGACGCTAGCTCTAACTTTTTATTTTACGCATCTAAAACGCCAAATAAAAGAACAGAATTTATCTACTCGAAATATTCACCGTCAACATCAATAACATCCTGCCACTTATCCGGCAACAAATAGTTTCCGCGGCGGTAAAACTCGCGTGGCTTCGAATCGAAAAACTGAGTGGGTGACAAGCGCACCATCGGACTATCATCTGTTCAGGTATTTTGTCCAGAATCGTCCGATTATCATTTTTTCAGGTCTCTGGAGTATCATTTGCGTGGAAAGATCTTTCAAAACGTGCGCTTGTCACTCACTCAGTTTTTCGATTCGAAGCCACGTGAGTTTTACCGCCGCGGAATCTATTTGTTGCTGGATAAGTGGCAGGATGTTATTGATGTTGACGGTGAATATTTCGAGTAGATAAATTCTGTTCTTTTTATTTGGCGTTTTTGATGCGTAAAATAAAAAGTTAGAGCTAGCGTCAAAAAACGGAAAGAACTTTCCGGCCAACCTAATAGAATGCTAGAGCTAGAAAGAAGATAAAAGTAAATCTAATACGAAAAGCAGTCTAATATGAAAAGCATTTTCTCTCCAAAACTCATCAACAGAATAAACAGAGAATTGACTATGAGAATTGAGGGTTCTTTGCTTCAAATGGCTGCCTGGGCACTGTCTCAGCGCCGGAGACTCATAAACATCTTAAAGTTTACAGAAGTGCCATTTTCTGTACTATTCAACGTTATGAAGCTACGGGAACAATTGCTGATGCACTAAGAAGCGGTAAGTCTAACTATCGTCACAAACATTAAGCGAATGAGGGACCGAATTAGAAAGAAGGCATGATAAAGAAGATGGCGAAGAAGATGGCAAAGAAAATAGCAAAGAAGATAACAAAGAAGATGGCGAAAAAGATGACAAAGATGGCAAAGAAGATGGCAAAGAAGATGACAAAGATGGCAAAGAAGATAACAAAGAAGAAGGCGATTTCAAGCACCTCATTGCTTTGCCAAGTCAAGCCAAGCTAATTGTATGTCAAGTCAAGCTTTATAATAATTCATCTAAGAATTAGAGTCTAATGCAGCAATCGGTGGCCTAGATGGCACCATTTTCTCACCTGTGGTTCCTCTTCGGGTCGCTCGTCCATTGGGGGTCCGGGAGCACAAAGTTTCGCATCGAGGCCAACCGTCTCGACCGCTTTCCTCAGCACCTCCACGTCTTCGGCGTCGAAACCACGCATTAGTCGTAAAAATCTGAAAGATAACATTGTAAACAAGCCATAAACAAGCTATAAACAAGCCATAAACAAGCTATAAACATTATAATTAATCTATAGTAATCTAGATCTTCTAGCTACCCCAAAAAAACCAACCGTCTTCGTGCTCTTCGCTCGTCGGCGGTCACCAACAAACGACGCCTCCACAACTTCTAGAAATTCATCGTTTTCATAGCTGTCCATTGTACAGTTTAGTATTAAGCCTAAGATCTAGATAAATCTCTAGTACAAGTACAGATTATGAGTACAAGAGTTGTACTTAAAGAGGCTAGTACTTAGGCTAGTACTTAAAGAAAAGATAGCAAAAGAAACCTCCACGTGACGGCGACGCTCCGAGAACACACACCTAAAAGAAATGTTGAAAATGTTAGACAATGTTGAAAATGAATTCGAAAGCAAGTTCCTAAATAAATATGAATTTCAAAAACTAAACTGACAAGGGAATTTCACAAGGCTGACGGCACAAGGCTGACGGCACAAGGCTGACGGCACAAGGCTGACGGCACAAGGCTGACGGCACAAGGCTGACGGCACAAGGCTGACGGCACAAGGCTGACGGCACAAGGCTGACGGCACAAGGCTGACGGCACAAGGCTGACGTCACCAAACGTCATGATCCATATACTAACCGACGCAGAATTTTGTACTGATTCCAAATCTGCTTTCCGTTTTTGCAAAACAGCTTTCTGTCAAAAGTTATAAGCGCTCAAAGTTTTGTATGGAGTTTTAGACAGATTCCCCAGTCTCTTTAAGAAGCGATGGTAGGCGAGAGGTAGTCGGCTAGAATAAAAAGCAAACACTCTCAGGTTCGAGGCCACAGCTTAACTTCTTTTTGCTTTTCTAGCGGCAAATGATTTTCATTTGACTACAGCTACGACATGCAGGAGACATAAAAGCGATGGGAATTCTCTATGCGCACAATCGTACAGCATCTGGCACACCGTTTCTCTGGATATAAATACAGCCAACGATCACCATCCAACATCACCAAAACCCTCAAAACATCCAAAGCTTAAAAGCAAAGCAAAGCAAAAGCCAGCTGCTGGACTACCCACGACTCCCTAAGCCTAAGCCTGAGCCTGAGCCTAAGCCTAAGCCTAAGCCTATCCAAGCCCACTGCCACTCGGCCACCACGACATCTTTCCCTCTCTGGCAAGTCAGCTTATAAACTCAGGGCCTGCAATTCCATACAGACTTTGAGCGCTTATAACTTTTGACAGAATGCTGTTTTGCAAAAACGGAAAGCAGATTTGGAATCAGCGCAAAATTCTACGTCAGTTAGTATATGACTCATGTCATTTGGTGACGTCAGCCTTGTGAAATTCCCTTGGCAGTTTGAGAGCCAAATTTTTCCATTTATCCGAAATCTCTTTAACCGTCACTTCCGACCCTTTGAACTTCTTCACGGCTTTCTCAAAATACAAACGTTTTTCAAAATGTTCAGCATATTCTGAGAAAATGAACCGAAAATTGATTTTTTTGGCGATAAAGCTAAAACCTTTGATCTTTGCCGCTAACCCTTTGATCTTGCCGCCAAACTCAGTTTTTTCAATGTTACTCAAAAATTGTTAAAGATTTTTCAATTCTGATTTAACAGACAAAACCGCCGTAGTCGATTACATATTGTCCCAAAAAAATCAGTCCGAAATTCCCAGTAGGACTCAAGTTATGAAGTGAATGGACACACACACTCACACAACCTTGCATCTTATTATAAGTAAGATTTATGATTAGATTTGATATTAAACGTAGATATTATTTAAAAAAATTGTTCTATAACCGAGTATAAACTATAACCGACCACAGGCCACAGTCCATGGACTTGGATGGATGACGGGCACTCGCCCGGATTCATCCAAATGGCGGCTCACTCGGAGGAGACCATCCGTGGTGATGCTCGCCGAAACACCTGTCAATCTAAAGAAAAAAATATGAAATTTTCATGGCTATCATATTCTAATACTTTTAAATCCCATTATTTTCTTTTATTGGCTTGATGAATTGAAAACTGCCGGACTTTGAACTAAAATTTATTCAACATAAGACCATCAATTCATTCCAAATAATTTCCATTATTATTGACGACTTCTGCCCATTTTACAGGCAATTTGCGGATTCCTCTTTCTTGGTAGGATTTTGGTTTGTGTGTGAGACAAGGGTGAGACTCAAAAATCGAGGACTGGAGACTCAAAAATAGAGGAATGTCCCAGTTTGGGCACTTTCTTCAAAAGAAACCCATTTTGGTGTCAATGGAAAAGTTGTAGAGAATCAAAAATTAGGCTTATATCCAAATTTCCAAAAAGATACACTCAGTAGTTTCGCTTAAAATGCAAGTTTTGTTGCAAGTTTTGTCAAAAATTCGTAAATTTCGCATTTCTTGAAAACCAGTTTTTGAATCGTTCTGAAAATTTGGATATAAGCTTTATTTTTGATTCTCTACAACTTTTCCATTGACACCAAAATGGGTTTCTTTTGAAGAAAGTGCTCAAACTGTCACATATGACAATAGCCGGCAGTTTTCAATTCACCAACCCAATAAATTAAAAATAATAATAAATAAAAACAAACAAAACAAAATGCATTAACTTTCAGCAAATCAAGATTTAGGGAGTTATAATAAGTTATAATAATTTAGGGATTTAGCTACAGCTCTGCTTGCAGAGAGTTTAACTATTACATCTTAAAATTTTGACAAATCTTGTCACTTGAAATGCTCTAAATAGTTCTATTTCTTAACAAAACTTTTAAAAAAAGAAATACGAAGGAAATTCTTTAAAATATTTGCAAATGCTTCCAAAGAACGATGAAAATAGCCGGCAGTTTTCAATTCACCAACCCAATAAATTAAAAATAATAATAAATAATAAATAATTAAAAAAGTAATTAAACAAATTGAGTTTAATTTCATTTTACTTTAAATCAATTTAAAGGAATTCTCTCTTGAAATAATAAAATTCTGACGACAGATGCCTTTCGGACCGTCCACCGTACTTTCAGACGTTTCCGCGCCAAACGTCGGAAACTACCGTAACCCGACGCAATAAAAGGACCCCGCCACAAAGAATTTTTCAGTCTCTCGTCGTGTTTTATTTTTTCAGTCTTTTTTTCTTTTTTTTCCATTGACACCAAAATGGGTTTCTTTTGAAGAAAGTGCTCAAACTGTCACATATGACAATAACCGGCAGTTTTCAATTCACCAATCCAATATATACCCAAAAGCACCGTCGAATCGTCGTCCCGTCTTCCCCACCACAATCTCGGCTCTCTTCTTCTCGGCCAGCCTTTTCTGAATACTAAAAAGATGCTTGTAAAAATAGATAATTGACAAGGAAGATAAGTTTAAAGTTTTTAAAAAAATATAGACTTAGACATAGTAATTGGAGCTTCAAAGGGGATTGCTCGGACGGACATGTGTATGGTTATTTGAGCCGATAGCAACTGGTCATGGGAAAATGTAAAAAATGAAGCTTATCGAAAATCGACTTGGAAAGCGTCTGAAATGAAAAAAAAATATGAAAAATCTATTTATATTGAGAGATTTAAATAGGCTTGAACTCAGTCTCGGCTAAGACTGAGTCTATTTGGGTTTGGGATTAGGCTTAGGCTTGGGTTAAGAGTGTCCCAGCATTTGTGAAACCTTGAAATAAATATCTAGAACAAAACCAAATTCCAAGATTCGCTCGTACTGTGCTCTCATAAACGCAGCCTTTCTAGCACACTAGCTGATTAGACATCAAGGAATACTGAGAAATTCAACGAAGCACAAGAAATCCAACGAAGTTCGGAGCTTTGTCGGATCTATTTCAGTGTGCCAAAGGATGAGCGTTTGTAAGAAAGCAAGTAGCAAGTAAAACATAAAGCCATTCTCTAGCCAAGGGGATACATGTTGGTGTAGCTCATTGGTAGAGCGTTTGTCTGGTAAGCGATCGCGGGTTTGAAGTCCGGTCCGGACTAGCCCCAATCCATAAAAGAAAGGATGAGATTTGTTATTCTTTAGCCGAATGATTAGCACATCTAATTTCCAGGGAAACGGCTCTGGTTCAGCTCTGGTTCAGGCCTAGTTCGACCCTGGTTCGACCCTGGTTCAGCTCTGGTTCAGCCCTGGTTTAGGCCTAGTTCGGGCTTGGCTCGGGTCTGGTTTAGGCCTAGTTCAAGCCTGGTTCAGGTCTAGTTCGGGCCTAGTTCGACCCTGGTTCAGCTCTGGTTCGGCTTTGCTGGCAAAAGGCCTTGTTGTTTTTGCTGAGAGGTTCAAAGTCTCCAAAACAAAGAAGCCTAGATCCTGGATCCTGGATAAAACAAAGAAACCCCTTTTCAAGCTCAATGAAAAAAGCAAAGCAGTAAATGTATAAGAGGTAAAGTGGAAGAAGAAGAAGTGTGTTTCGGGGAGTGTGGAAGGGATGTAGTGGGTGAATGATTCATCGAGGGGGAGCTCTTCCAGTGAAGAGTGCACAGGGGAGGTCATCCATGTGCTTTTTTTGCAACTCTAGAGTATCCAAGAAGTGAATGAAGGGATTTTTTTGAGAAAAATCTTTGGGATTCAGTAGAAAACGATCAGCTTTCATTATTCGAATCAAAATCGATCGATTTCACGATGGCGTTTTCTTTTTTGATCTAAAGTTTTTCTCTGGAGAATTAAATCAAGAAAAACTGAGTGGGCGAAAGAGTTTGCGTTTAGAAGACAACAAAGAACAAGTCAGGAATATATTATATAACATCAGGAAATTATATAACATCTCCGTCCGTCCGTTTGTCCGTTTTCAATAAAAGCGAACGGACAAACGGACATCTCCGTCCGTTCGCTTTTATTGAAATTGGCGGAAACGGACTTTTTGCTTGTAATCTACACCAAAATACAAGCCTTTTTTATATTTAAATGAAATCTCAAGTTACTTTCTCCAATCAATTTCAATTTTTAATTCAAAAACATATTGCTACGCTTTTTATAGAACTTTAAAGTTCAGAGATGCCAATCTCTCAACAAAATCATCGTTTTCAATAGTTTTCAACACTCAAAAATTTCCCACAATCAATTCTTTTCGTTTTTTTCTCATTTCTTAGCTAAATCTAACTAAATATCAAAAAATAAACAAAATAAACAAAACAAACAAAATAAATAAAACAAAATGCATTAACTTTCAGCAAATCAAGATTTAGGGAGTTATAATAAGTTATAATAATTTAGGGATTTAGCTACAGCTCTGCTTGCAGAGAGTTTAACTATTAAATCTTAAAATTTTGACAAATCTTGTCACTTGAAATGCTCTAAATAGTTCTATTTCTTAATAAAACTTTTAAAAAAAGAAATACGAAGGAAATTCTTTAAAAGATTTGCAAATGCTTCCAAAGAACGATGAAAATAGCCCGCAGTTTTCAATTCACCAACCCAATAAATTAAAAATAATAATTAAAAAAGTAATCACAAAAGTAATTAAACAAATTGGGTTTAATTTCATTTTACTTTAAATCAATTTAAAGGAATGCTCTCTTGAAATAATAAAATTCTGACGACAGATGCCTTTCGGACCGTCCACCGTACTTTCAGACGTTTCCGCGCCAAACGTCGGAAACTACCGTAACCCGACGCAATAAAAGGACCCCGCCACAAAGAATTTTTCAGTCTTTTGGCATCTCTGAACTTCGAGAAGTTGGCATCTCTGAACTTCGAAGTACTGTTCTGTGCGCTATAATTGTCGATGAAAAGATGTTGAAGGCCTTCTTAACAAGCAAAATGATCGCAACAAGATTTCACGCGCTTTCAAGGACAATAACTCGTTGATTTAAACTTCATTTCTCGTTTTTAGATTTTAGAAATGGAAATGACAAAGAAGATGGCGATTTCAAGCACCTCATTGAGTCGGATCCTCAAAAATAAGCTCAAACTTACTGCTTACAAGAAAGTTACAAGAAAAAAAGAAAAACAAAGCTCAACTTCTTTCGAATCCCACTAAAAACAAGCGAAAATTGAGAGAAGATCAGTTATTGATGTGCTTCAATGAAATCGACCATCACAATATCTTGTTCACAGATGAAAAGATGTTGAAGGCCTTTTTAACAAGCAAAATGGTCGAGTATGGACCAAATCTTAACCGAATTTCAACCAAATCTCAACCGAATCTCAACCGAATGCTACGGTTTCTGCAAATCCAGCTTCTGTGATGGTTTCTGGTGGCATCACTGCAACAGGAAAGACTCATTTGTCCCCAGGAAAGTCAATTCCAATAACTACCTGGCTCTTCTCAAGGATGAACTCTCGCCCTGGGCTCGTAAACATTTTGGAAATCGCATTTAGCAAGATGGCGCAGGCCTACAAATCCAAGACTTCTGCCAAAACTTCCTGGACTTCATTTCTTTTTCTGAATCTGGAGAGTTTGCCCTAGCTCTCCAGACTCTAGACCTAGCTCTCCAGACTCCGATCTAGCTCTCTAGACCTAGCTCTCCAGACTCTAGACCTAGGTCCCAAGACTCTAGACCTAGCTCTCCAGACCTCAACCTAATGGATTTTTTAGTATGGTCGATTCTAGAAGCCAAAGCTTGTTCAAAGCCACACAAAAACATCGAAAGCTTGAAGAAATCATTGTTAAAAGCGCCCCATCCAGTCTGTTTGGTCACCACCGTTGATGCCTTCCCTGAAACGCCTGCAAGCTGCAAGCTAATAGTGGCAGATTCGAATTTCATTTATAATTGTTATTTGATAGTTCATTTATAATTGTTAATGTACAATAAATCTAAAGCTTAAAAGTGATGTTTAGGGGAGGAAAAGTGGTGGGAAAAAAATGCTAACAACTCGATTGGATTCAAGGGGAAAAAAGAGGGTGAGA